GTACGATACGTGGGCACTATACAACAGCGTCATCAAGAACCCTGCGAGCTACAAGCAGACTGCCGACTTGAAAAATGTTACTGGCTACTGCAATGCGTACAAAAAGTAAGTCTTGTAATTCGCAGCCTACATACTGCGGGCCATGTTAGCTAACGAGTGAATAGTGGCACACCGACCTGGTATACCAAGGATCCTAGCTGCCAGTACCCTGTCAACGAGTACCTATGGCTCAACGAGCTGCACCCTACTTTTTCAATCAACAATGCCACAGCAGCTTCCATTGTTGAATTGCTTTCCAAGTAAGCATTGCCTGGAATGAGGTGCAGTATTCTGGTCTTCCAGATCATGGTAGCCATTTTGGTCTACAACCGTTGTACATACTTGATTATCAAAAAATAGAACCCATCGCGAAGTGAACCTGTGCAATGAGCTATGTTCTAGAGTAAGATAAGTGGGGTGGCGCAAACGTATAGTATACAGTCATGAAATAGAGAAATAGAATCCAAATCCCGCGCCATTGTCTTCTCATGTCATGTCTGCAAGGATCACATTACACTCGCTCACTCACCCAGATGGCGCCTCTACACCCACCCCTTATAACCTCGGTCAGAAGTTCGTATGGCTTTGCGTTCTTGGCATCGTTCTCAACGGCGTGATCCAAATGCTCCAGTTCCTCATCTCTTATCCGTCTCAACTCAACTACCAACTTATCCAACTCGGGGCCTAAGCTCTGTCCCCTCTCCTCACACTTCTTAGCCCAGTCCAGCAGTACCCGCACCTGCTCATTGTAGTGCGTCCCAATCTCCGTCTCGACAGCCTCTGTACACGCCATGGCTGCCTCGCGCCCCATGACGGCCGTCGACCAGCCCAGAATGCTCGCTGCCGCCGTCCAGATGGGAGTCATGGCCGTCGGGCGTATACGGTGCTTGGAGATGACGTTGTTGAAGTATTTGTAGTGCCCTGCTTCCTGGTCGTACATGTGCTTCATGAGTGGGCGCAAGTGGGGATGTGACCGTGTGATGACTGGCGACTGGGCAGCATAGATGAGGATGGCGGCGAGCTCACCCGTCTGGTTCACTCGCAATGCCGAAGATAGAAATTCCCGCTGTTCGGGTGTAAGCGGCCGTATTGGCTTGCCATCTTTTGTTGTTTGTGGCGAGGGCGGCGTGGACGCTGTGCTGGAGAATCGCACGGTCTGGCGTGGTGCGCAAGTGGCTGTACTGGGGGCAAGAAAATCGAGGACTGGGTATTGCAGGCTGCGGCAGATGCTGCGTGATATTGTTCGTGATGAGTGGACTGCAAAAGACATGACGTGTATTCCCGACTATTGTACAATAATATGAATGAAAAAAGAAATAGGAAATTGTTCTTGGAAAATGTGAATGCAATGAACAGAAGAATAGGAAGACGGCCTATGATGCGCTCACTGCACGCAACCAGTGATCCACTCGGAGGACGCGGCGTGGTCCGAGCGCTGGGAGCGTTTCCCCAACCTTTGGACTTCCCACGTTCCTGTTTCCTCCTCTTTCCCCCTTAAGCGCGCCCAAATCTCCTCCCGACATCCTCAGCGACCCCCCCGTTATCGCCGCTACTGTCGCTGCAACAGGCCAGAAATCTACCGCAAAACTTTTTCCCATTCACCTCCACAATGTCGGCCGATGATATCGACGATGAGCTCTTCGCCCTCGCGGGTGGTGACGAAGACGCAGACGTAGAAGAAGGCGAGGCGTGAGTACTCCTCTCTCACCCATCACCACTCATCCATCTCTCGCCACTCCTTCCCATCGCTTCCTCCCATACTCTTCCGTTCAACCCTCCACCGACCGTTTCAACCCCTTACCGCACCATGGCGCTGACTCGACCCAGTTCGTCGCCTGCAGCCTCATCGCCAAACTCGCTGGGATCAGATGCCATGGACGAATCCGACTCGGATCGCGATGATGACGAGCCCGCGCACGCGGCCGACGTGCCCTACCCCCTCGAGGGCAAATACATCGACGAGGCAGACAAGCGGCAGATCATGGGCATGTCGCAGTTGGAGCGAGAGGAGATTCTGGGCCAACGCGCTGAGGAGATGAGCAATGCCAACTTCAAGGCAGAGCTCGCAAGGCGTGCTGCCAACGTACAAAACGACCGAAAGCGCAAGGCCGATTCAGAAGACCCTGACGATACTATGCGCAAAAGCAGCCGCCCCAAAGTGCAGCCCCGTAAGAACGAGAAACTTGAGGCATACAAGCGCGAACGAGAGCAGCGAGGCCAGCAAAGACAGCGACACGATGACCGGCGTGGTGACCGTAGGCGCTCCAGCTCTGGCGATCGCGACGGTGGCTCAGATCTTGACGCTGATGGCGAGAGCGATGTTGAGTGGGACGACAGAGTACCAGACAAGGTTCGCGAGGATGTGCCTGCAACCCTACGTGACTTTGAATCGGTGCGCGTCGGTAGAGGCTTCTTCTCGGAAGTATGCTTCCACCCAGGTTTCGAAGAGGCCTTGACAGGCGCTTTTGGGCGTGTGGGTGTTGGTCAGGATGCCCAACGTCGCACTCTCTACAAGATGGCGCAAATCAAAGGTAGGCATGCTGACAACTGCATCATGAATACAACTAACTCATTCCCTAGGCTTCTCCGTGGGTAAGCCCTATGTTTTCGAAGGCAAGGATGGCAAACGCATCGCGACAGATCAATACGTCATTGCGCAACATGGGTCAGTGAAGAAGGACTACCAGTTCCAATTCATGTCGAACCAGCGCTTTACCGAGAGCGATCTTGATATCTATCGCCAATCCCTTGCCGAGACAAACTCCAAGGTGCCATCCCAGTCTTTCCTTAAGCGGAAGTATGACGACCTCAAGGCGCTTCAGAACCACTACTGGACCGACGCCGACATCAGCGCGCGTATCGCCAAATCCAAGAAATACGCCCATCTTCTACAACGCTCATCTTCTGACGCTCAGCCTAAGATTGCAACCCAATCCGAGGCAGCTGCTGCGCGTGTTGCGGAGCTCAACCGCAAGAACCGTATCTTAGAGGCTGAGCGCGTGCGCAAGGCCCAGCTCGAGCAACAGCGACAAAAGAAGATCGATCAAAAGAAAGAGGCTGCTCGTCGTAAAGCAGAAGAGGAGGCGAAGAAGGCACAGGAGGAAGAGGCCCAGAAGAAGAAGGCCCTAGATGTCGACGCCCTCTTCGACGGCGACGGTAGTTCCAGGGCAAGCACGCCCAACCCTCAACAGCCGAAGAAGAAGACCGAGCGGAAAGGCCTACCGACATTCAGGAAGCCCAAGATGGACGATGATATTATTGCAAGCATGGACATTGGCGTTGACATCGAGATTTGAGCCGTTTTCTGTTTTTCCAGCTGAGTTGCGACCAGTGCAAGTTCTGGATTGGTGTTCGTCCTTTTGCCTATCGTTTCTGGCTAATCGGGTCTGTTTCGCGACTGCACATCCCCTTTTGACTTTTAGTTTTTTGTTTCCGCTCGGCTCTAGTTTTCTGTGCACCATTTTAGTTAGGCACAAAAGTCGATTAGTTACTCTGGCATGGAAGGAGGGAGCATAGCGATGGTGTTCATATACATAGCAGGGAGAGCAAGACGTGACATATCATCCTTGCTACATTTTTCTTTTCTTTTTATACCCAGGAATGTCGTCATGGGAGGGGCGGGGTGGGGTGCAGAGATTGTTACATCCATGTACGATACATATGCTCGGAGCAAATGAAAAACGTTTGCTATGAACATACAAAAATGGAGGATATTTGCATATCTTCTTGTCAATCCACATCAACAATGAGATATGATTTTTTTCAAAAAAAAAAAAGGAGAGATATTGTTCTGCTAATGTTAGTCCAGCACCAAAGCCTACTGAAAATACAGGACATGGCCTCAACCCTCCAGCTCCAAGTCGACGCTATACAGCAATTAGGCAGCCCATCTGAGGGACAAAAGACAAAAGTGAAAATGAAGAATCAGATCAAACAAGACCCTTGAAAATATCTAATCTCAATCCACCATCTAACCAATCAACCAACAGACAAGCCTTGCACAGCACTCTAACCCGCATAAACCACTCACTCATCCCGTGCTCATTATCCCTTGTAAGAAAAATCCAGTTACCTACCATCCCTATCCCACCAACCCCTTACACATCACCACACCAAGCAAACAAACAAACAAAGGGAAAAAAAGAATTTCATTCACACATCTCACCACCCCCAACCTAATCCCACGCCTCAAGTCTTGGTACTCGAATTTCTCCCCCTCGTCCAAGACCGCATTGCCTTTGTTGTTTCTACTCTCATACGTAATCACGACGCGCATTAGATAGTAGAGACAGGAACGATACTTTCATACACCGGAAACAGACATTTTTTATTTCTTACAATGATACAATTAACTAAACCCCCCCCCCCCCCCCTACACACACACTCGCTCTATTATTTCCGCTTTCGCCGCGGAGAATACACAAACAATATCCAATCTTACTCATCCTTCACCCATCCCTGTCACTGCCGTTTGCAGCCTCCCACCGCCACCACCACCATTGTTGCATGGAATAGCATTCTGCGCCGCATACTTACGCAATGGATGCGGCACTGCTTTCTTCTCCTGAGGGCGCCGTGTGTCTTCGCTGGGGCGCGGACTCGCTTCGGGGATGGATTCTAAGAGCGGGAAGTGGCGGTGGAGCGAGCTCAGAAAGGAGTTGCCGTCTTGGTGGAGGATGTGGGTGGATACTATGGGGCCTAGTTCGCTGTCGTTGGGGGGATGAGGGGGGTTGTTGGTGTGGAGGCGTAGGCGGCGGGTGCAGCAGAGGGCTGTGAGGAGGCCGCTGTTGAGGAGGGGGGTTTGTTTAGTTTTTGGTGATTGAGGTGTTTGTTTTGGGGGGGTTTGGAGATTGCTGGTGGGTTGTTTCTGTGAAAGTGGGTTTGGTGCAGGAGAAGATGGTTTGGATAGGCGTAAAGGCTTAATCTATGTAGCATTTGAGAGGGTATTGGTGCAATAGCACTCACAACAGCAATGCAACCGCCGCAGAAAGTCCTCCGATCAGGACTCTCTGTGCTTTTTTCCTGCCCTCTTTCTCTTTTTCTGGAGAAGTATCGCGACGGAGCAGGCGGAGTAGGAAACTTTGCTGTAGTGGCGAACTTCCGGATGTTTTCTCGAATGCTTCGATGCTTTCTGAAGGCATCCATATGCCATCCTTGACTGTACCCTTACCCTGACGAATAGCAGCCAAATCTTCTTCTGTGCAGGTAGAAACAGCGTCTCTAATCCAGCAGACTGAGTTTGGCTGAGGCGGCACCACATTCTTATGATCAGAAGTGTTGGGCCCTTCGGTTGCAAACGTAGACAAGTCAGCCTCGCGACCCGTGCTGATGTCCCGACCTTGAATAGTCCGACTGAAGATAGCAAATGCAGTTTCTGGTTGGTAGTAGGGTACCTGGTGACCGGCATCGTAGATTCGAGAGAACGAAAGGTTGCCATATTGACGTACAGCTCCGCCAACATAAGATAAATTGACAAAGATATCGGCATAGCCAGCGGCTGGGAAGGCGGTATCGTACCCTGGAACAAGACTAGCTAGCTCGAGAGATCCATTCTGGCCTCCATACCAGTTACCTAGGAGATCTGCGTCCCCGTATATCAAAGCTACCTTTATGCCGCGAGCGAGCAAGCGCGCCAAAGAGGCTAGCTGCGTCCCACGAGCAGCATCTCCGTCTATAGAAAGAATCAGCAAAGCTCTCTTTCTAAAGAAGCTTGTCAAATGAATATGACTTACTGAAATTGAAAGCGTTTTCAACAGTGATGCTATGTGAGGTGAAGTTGACCGAAGCGCCGATGGCCTGTAGAACCCTGGCATCATTCAGATATTCTACGTAGGAGGCTGCCGGCCCAACCTGAGGCTCCACTCGCATGTCATAAACGCTTCTGCCGATAGCCATGACAGGCAAAACAGCCAATTGACACGTTAATAGAGCACTTGCGCAAAGCTTGTTAGTGTCCTCATCAGTACCGAGATTGTCGGGATCGTTCTTCGCCGCGACCACACGACATTGCGTTATCAGATCCCTACAGCCCATCTCTCCGTTGACTGCAGCTATTGCATTCTTGTAGGTCGTGATGTTGATGCCTTCGATACCATATGTGTTGTTGTATGCAAATTCCAGACCTGATGTCGTGGTTGTAATAACATCCAAGACACCATCCACGATGCCTACTGAACCCACACGGATCTCCAATGCATCACTTGGTACCTTTCCATCTTTTTTCCCCTCGTTTTGAGCTTCAAAGAAATCTGCAAATATAGGGCCATACATGCCCCCATAGCTCTCGGCAAATAGATTGATGGCAGCAGACTCGACAACATCACTATCAGGATATACCCCTGGATTGTACTGAGGGAAAGCGGAGAGAAAACCTTGCAGGAAGTGCCAGGTCGATCTGGCGGCGATGGCAGTCAAGTCTTCCGTGTTTGTAGTAAGACCAGAAGCGAAAGTCCCGTTTTTGAAGCGCCAGGCAGGTACATCAGTCGGAAGGGGTGACGGTTGCTTACGGGCATCCAATCCGGCAGGATCGTCGTTGCTGAAATCTATAGACGCGTTCGCCCGCTCATCATAGGAGAAGCCGGTCTGAGTGGGTTGATCGATGAAGAGTATGTTGGAACTACGGTCCCAACCCCAGGACCTGGGCTGTGTAGTGTAGCCGTCATCAGACCCTTGGATAACCTTGCATGGTCCTACTTCGGTAAAGAGACCAACCATGCTGGATTGTCCAGGTCCACCGTTCAGCCATATTGTTAATGGTGCAGTTTCTGGGTTATCTCGAGCCTCAAAGAACCAGAAAAAGGTATTGATTGAGTAGTTTTGCTGAAAGGGCGCAAGCGTAAACGGAGGAAGATTGACATAACCCGAGTACTGCTTCTGCGTTTCGGCAGTTGTAGAGCAGATGTCGGATTCGGGCTGCTTGAAGGAGATGGTGATGCTAGGGTCCACAGGTGATTTGAGAATGGTGTCATAGGTAACAGGAAGCGGATATTGCTGGGCAAGTGAAGCCCCAAAGTTAACAGCAACAAGTGCTAAGATGATGTGCGATAGTTGGTGCTAGTGATGTTCAGCCTGCGCACGTACTTGCTTGTGTTGTGTGAATACACAAGCGGGCTTACCATTTTATCGGATAGTAGCTCATTGGCCGATGCCTATCGCATGGAAATAATAAGAGGCCTGAAATGCTGCACAAAGCAGGTTACAGGTGAAGCGTACAAGCAAGCAAGGCGCACCGCCGTGTAACGTTGGAGAACAAACAAAGTCGTAATCTGCCGCCCCTACTTGTACTTTCATTGCGACTCCCTTTACAATTGTTAAGCGACAGGCTACCATATCAAAATAGGAATCCCCTAGTTCAATACAAAGCAGCTGCGCGGCAAGATGAACGTGCAGAAATGAGCCCCATAACTTTGCGGCACGGTCGCGTAGCGGCCGATGACGACGAATGGTTTGGCACTCCATGCACTGTGGGCATGCCCAGCGCAGTATTCCCACATGCCTCCCAAACTAACCATCTCAAGTTCACAATATAAAATACTGCACAGTCAACAGTGCAGTACCACCTTTCTAAGACGCGTGTCTTACATGTGCCACGATTCGAGTCCATAATCTCACTATGCCATGTGGCACAGCGCTCAAAACACTTCAGCCGCCATGCAAAGACAGCGCCACTACGCACCTTTGCAACCTATATAGATGAATGCAGGGGTACCAAATCTTGCGATATGTAGCCGACCGCTGCACAGTACTCAATCCTGAGTTCGTGTATCCGACATCCATGGTGTATGGACGGGTTGCGTAGTGAAGCGATGTAGTCAACTGTGAAGAGCGGCGTCTGCCAGTTGCATCCTTCGTCCATAACCACCATATATCCATCCGACTGCATCTGACATGTCGTTATGGTATGGCGTCCATCCTTGAAAGAAGTTAGTTAAGGCTGAGTGTACTCGTGGGGGCTGGAAATCTGTTCACCTTCGGGAGCAAAGCCACCAACAGTAGTCCCCTTGATTTCCTTCCAAGTCCTTTTTTCGCTGAGACCCAACTGTACTACTCTTGCCCGTTTGCCTCGCTTCGCCAGGATCCTGACCTCCCCTTTCATGTCTTGCTCTGGTCCTGCAATGCGCCAGTCCTCGTTGACCTTATCTCCTGGTTTCGCTGACCAGAGCTGCATGGTCCGGCCGTCCTCGGTTTTTTCACAGCCAGTAGCTGCTTGCTGGTCATACGGAACAATGTACATCTTGACCTCTGCGCCGTACTCGACTCCATCACGTTCTTTGATAAGCGCATCCCAATTTTCGGGTTGGGCTGACCGCTTGTGCCGGTGGTCGTAGCCCGAGGCGATGAAATCGGTACAAGGTGTTATGTAGGTAAGCTGTTTCCAAGCGTCGCTATTGAGGAGGCTTTCGATGTCGAAGTAAGTTGTAACGTCTCGCCAGCCATCGCACATGCCAAAGCCATGCCAACAGTCTTCCACGACTAGTGTGTCAAGACACAGACCAGGCAGCAGATTAAGCGCATTTGCTGCATAGTAGGTAGGATAGTAATGCGTAGCCTCTCCAGCATACAGGGGGAATGGATACGCGCGAACCCGAATGTGGCGTAAGCGGGTTAGCACACTCTGATCCATCGAGAGGAGTGTCTCAAGCAAGTTCTCAGTACCGCGGAAGTGAAGGGTGCAGTTGAGCGGAAGATGGCGGCTGGCCTCCGTGGAGATTTGGCGACAAGTGAGAAGTAGTGATGTGCGATTAGAGGCGTCCGTTTTGCTGCTGGGAAGGCCTGGGTGTTTGAAGCCATGTCGAATAGTGTAGCTACCAAAGAGAAAGCCGTAAATGAGCTCTCGTAGCTCGACAGGTATCGTGAGAATGGTTGGTGCGCTCATGATGCCGTAGTCGATGGCGTGCGATTAGACGAAACGGCGAGTGACGGAAGCAAGATGGTCGCTGATAAGAAGTAACGCAAGTAGTAAGTATATAGTACGCAAACACCAAGCCGAGCAAACAGATACAGAACAGCGTCACTTGGACTGGTAAGCACTACAATGTTGACATGAGCTGGACGTGACGACAGCTAGGCGTCCACTCCAAGCCCTGGCGTGCGCACAATATAAGGCATCGCTCAGCTTGCACGCTGATAGCTTCTTCCTCGGCTGTCATGGGCGGCAGTAGGGTAGGATGACGTTTGGCCTCCTTGCGCTAGGACTGGCTAGCGCGCCTCGGGCAGGTCCAAAGGTCGTGTGCTAGGTCACCGACCATGAAAGACTGGTATGCTATACATTAGCAGCTGAAAGCTGTGTACATACACGTGCCAGGCCTGCCGCCGAAACTAGGAGTACTATATTAAATCCCGCCGACGCCTTCAAGAGCCACAGTCCGGCGAGATCGACCGGTAGTCTAAGCGCTGGCTTGTGGTAGTGTGCATTAGGGGATGGATGGAATACTTGATTCTGGGTATCTTTGATGCGCGCTCAAGTCTAGATCTGCCACCTTTGACCACGACCTCCAATCAACCGTTGCTCCGCTGTATGTATCACTCCGACTTTGACCGCCCATGAATACGCTGCTGCTCCTCTTGCAGCTTCTTCTGCTGCCACTGCCACTCCACTAGTACAGGCAGGAATTGCCAAAAATCAAACTCGGGCCATAAACACTTGAGAAACACAATGGACGTGTTCTCGTGAGCCTGCCACAGCATGAAGTCGCTCAGTCGCTGCACACCAGAAGTGCGGACAAGCAAATCGAGCGGTGGAGCATCGGCGGTCATCATGTTGTCGTTCAGTGTCTGGGCACTAATCGACTCGGGATCCAGGAATGTAGGTTCCGTCTGGGACTCTTCCTTGTCTGGTGGATTAATCACTGTTGCGGTCGACGAAGACCGCCCGTCTTCCGCTGAGGCAGCTTCTTTCGAAGGTGACGCTGGACGCGACTCTGGTTGTTCAAGTGCGCCTTCTGTGTCCTCCTCCAACATTTGCTTCCGGATATGCTGTGTAATGTGCGATTCGGAAAAGGCGCGTCTCGGCGAAGTAGACAGGTTATGCATAGGGGTGCTATACGTCTCGACAGTCTTCATGACAGCGGTCGTGATTTCATGGCGTGACGTGTAGGGAAAGCAGACATTCAGGACAGCTCTGTTGAATGGGTCAGCAGTCGTCTTCGCACCGGGTATTGTTCTATACTTCTTGTTGTGAGCGGTCATGGCCACGGCCTTATCCACAGCCATAAGCACATCTGGGTTGACAAGCTCGCGCTCACCCAAGACTCGAATGGATGCACCGTAGCGGTCCAGTAAAGCACCATGCTCGGCTAGCTGCTGCAGCTTCACCTTGGCCATTGACATGAGCGCATCCACCTCATGCTTTGAACGCTTAAAGTTCTCAATACTGAACGCGTAGATTGTCACGACTTTCACCCCGGTCTTGTAGCACACCTCGAGGATCTGGCTAGTTGTCAGTATCGTAACCAACTAGGGAAATGCACCATTTCCATGGTTCTTCATACCCGAGCCAGCGATTCAAATCCCAGATTATGCCCCTCTACAGTCTCAATGTGGTGATTGCGTGCAAACCGCCTGTTCCCGTCCATGACAAACGCCACATGTTGCGGGATTGGACCCTGCTTAAGAGACCCAATGAGAATCTCCCGTAGCTGTCTGATTGTCCATGCGACCGGAGGCGAGGTTGCGAACCACTTGTGTATGCGAGAATCGTGGATCGACCCCATTGTGAATATTGTCGAGGTGCTTAGCGTCTGCTCTTTAGGGGTTTTGAAATTGCAGTGCCAAATCAGGGCGACGATGATGCTAACAGAGGTTCTCGGGGGGCTTCGCTAAACAATGGCGCTTCTTGTACTATTAGGGTATCATGGCGTATAAGAGTTGCAGTTCAAGAAGAGATGCTACGTAAGAGGTCCAAGGCGCAGTGCGCCCTGACGCGCCTCCCAACGCATCTGACCATGGGCTTCTTTGCAAGGTGAGTGGCTGGTATCGATGACTAAGCGTGGCGCGGCCTGCGCCGCTCCTTGCGACCCTGCAATCCTTGCCGAGCTTCCGTCCATTTCTCACTTTTCCTGGCCGCGAGCCTCGTTGCCGCGTCATCAAAGCTGGGCTCTCGTGCTATCTCTATACGCACCATCTTCGCACATTTCTTCCTTGTGCTAACGGCAGCATGGCTGAAGAGGCTCAGCTCAACGTCACAGTGCTTGCCGAGCAGCTGGTCGAAGGCTTTGCAGCCTTGAGCGGAGAATACCAGGCGCTGTTTGATCAGCAAAAACAGGTGGAAAGCAAGCTCTCATGGGCCAAGCAACAGGTATGTGACAGCTGCTAGCAGCCCTCTTCCCCTCCTTCCATGATGATACACTTTAGCTCTAGACCTGCAGCTGCTCTCGCGGCTTTGACAGAAAACAACCACAGCATGACCTGATTTCGGATTTCCTCTTTCCATGTTCAAGCACACATCATTCTGCAAGATCCAGTCTGACATTCCACAGTATCTCGACTTACTTAAACGGTTCGCGCCGGATACGCTGTCGCAAGATCATCTTACTTTTTTGCAAGAGCTCGAGCGAATTGGGGACGAACAACCACATATGCACGTGAATTTGGTGGAGCAATTAGCAAGTAGCGACGATGTAGAGCGCAAGAGCCGGGCACTGGTCATCCAGAAGGCTGAGGAGGCTGCTGTTCAACTGCGTGCCCCTGAAAATACTACAAGTGTAAAGATATGGAGCGGCCCATCAGCTGATGTACCGACCCCGCAACTTGAGACACAAAGTAATAGAGCCCCTTCACCTCTTGAAAAAGATTTCACAGTTGCTGGAACGCCCAGTAAGCTAGCCTGCCCCTTCGCATCTGGAAGTGGTAGAGGTAGCCCTCTTGCTACGCCGCGAAGCTCGACCTCACGTCTTAGCCTGCGCGGTCGTAGGTCCAAACGACCCTCGTTCGCCGATCCTATCCGCGCCGAAATATGTAGCAATAAACCTGCCTCAATGACTGCCTCGGTAGCTGCATCTGGGTCTGCTGCCGTCTGTCCCATCCGCTTCCTTGACCAGCATAACCCAGAAGAGGTTGCAGAATACTTTGAAAAACACAAGCACGAGCTGCCCAGGAGCCACGAAGTTTGCATCACACGTTTCCAGCGTAACCAGGAGAGCATTGAACAGCTGGATCGCAAGTATGGCAACTTGGTCAATATGATCCAAGGCCTGGGTCAAAAGCATCAAGCATGGCTGCCTGAGGATCCTGATGATGCTATAGACGAAGAACCGGAAACCGAACCTAACCACATTGCCGACGCCAGAGCAGACACCAAAGTTCAAAACTGGGCCACAGCTGTCTCAGCAAGTCTTCATGATGGTACTCCAACTCCTGAGGAACCGCCAGAAGATCATGCCATGGACGAGACTAGAACAGCGCACTTTGACCGTCCGCTAAAGGAAGTCCGAGTAGGCGAGTCTCCAAGTCGACCTTGGGGCATATCGATTCCAGCGAAATACACCAATGCCGAGAGCTCGTCGTCAGTTGGCTCCGTCCCAACCGCATCACCACAGTTTCCGCTAGACACTGGCCGACCAGTGGAAGACACCCCACAGAGCACAGGAAAGTGTCCGTTCGATCATCGAGCGATGATGAATCAACCACATGAACAGCATCAAGCGACACAAGCTGCCCCCCCGCCGTCATCGCCGCCTAGAGCCACGAATACCCAGGCGCCGCCCGCAGAGCCCCTGCCGCAAAGACAGCCTGCAGAGCAGAATGGAGAGACTGGAGGCCCACGGTTGATACCCCAAATGATATTCAACGGACCAGTGTTCCTAGGGTATCCGCCGGATCAGCTGGCTCTGTTGTTGCAAAACAGCAACCTTGGTGCAACGATGCGGTAAGATTGAAGCAACGAAAGCAAAATTTGAATTCACTGGCTGGTTGATTTGAGGTATTGTATTGTAATCAGAAGGTAGGCTTTCATGACTGCTTGCCTCGCAATTGTGTGTCTCTATCAGCCTTCCGAAGTCGTGCTTTTTTCTTCTCTGCGTTTTCATTGGTCATTGTCACCATGCTATCCAGTCTTGCTCTGGCATGTCCAAACGCGATTCCGAACCGACCTAGCGTGCCCTACTGACTAGGACCTGGTGGTCCTGCTCATTTCTTCTTCAGATCTGTCATCCAGGTGCGCACGCCTTTTGCGCTGTCGTGTGCCGCACGGAACACTTTGTCGGCATCAGCTGCAAGCTTCCGAAATTGATTGGTGGATACTCACGCTGCCGTTCGTTCTCATCTAGGCCCCGCATAAAGTCGGCACCTTCGCCCAATGCACCCCGTGGGTTATGGGCTTGATCAGCTATTAAAGCAGCCCTGGCCTTGAAGGTCTGTGGGGGTTAGCTCTCACTAGATGACGGGAAAGCTCGGCCACAATACTCACATCGCTCAGTACCTCGATTATTTCTTCCTCCTCGAATAGCTCGAGAATACGTGCTCCGAGATTATAAAAGTGCGGAGCCAAGGCACGCAGATCGACGGTACGTGGGTCAGCTTTGAGTGCGTTCAAGACGCGTGGAGAGAGGGCCGAGGGAGGATCGATGGTGACAAGAGAGGAAGTGTTTAGACTCTGGCTGTAGATAGCGTAAATACATGGCTGTTGGAACGACACAAATATCAGTTTACCTCAGTGCAAGCATCTCGCCTAGCCACAAGGGGAGTTCGACCTTTGAGCCTTGCTTCATGTCGCCGTTCATGTTACCCTCGAGATAGCCGAGACCAGGAACGGTAAGCTCAAAGGTACAGGGTACCTTCTGGGCATCTGTAAGGATTGCATCGACGTCGTAGTACGAACTCATGTTTTCTGAGACACGTCAACTAACCAGTCTACTTGGTAGAAGGAACATGGAGGGTCAAGGCTCGTTGATGATCAACATGCTGCTGGTTCAAGCCAAGACAAAGCCGGGAGAGAAGGCTTGTCGAGGACAGCAGACACACGTGTCGCGTGTCGTGCCACAACTATATTTGTGCATGCGGACGAAAACGCAATGAAACAGGAACATGGATGAGATACAGGACAAAAATTGCCCTGGCTCTGGCGACCAGAACTGTCACGGGCCAAGTGCTAGGAAAGATTGGAAATGGAATGGGGGGTAAGTTGCTTACTATGTGGCAACCTCAGCGTTGCGCGTCTCGTGAATGCCTGGCGGAGGTCCGACGATATATACCTTTGTATAGCGCGGTCGGCCCGTATGCAATCAATTATTGCTACTACTACCTCTCACCAGCTGTGCCCAGGAAGCAGTGCAGCCCGTCTTGTCTTTGTGGTGTGCACTCAAGGCCTTATTCGTCTATGCCTGGCTGGCTGGCTGGCTTGCTGCTACATCGCCTGGCCAAAGCTTCCAGCACCTTAGCATTAGTACATGTCATAGGGACGAGGCGCCGGCTACCCACATGAACCACCTCACTGTCAATCATTGCACCCCGGCCTGAGCTCATCTCCACCAGCATATCCCCGCAACATCGGAACCTGGGTTCCATACCACGCAATCGTTCTGTAAGTCGCGTGCATCTCTCAATTCGACCATCAGCCCCGCCGCAGCCTTGGATGATGCACTCAGTGGTGCTCACTCTACTATACATATACACTTCACTGCCCCAACCTATCACCGCTTGCCCTTCACTTGCTCAATCATTTGCTTACTTTTTCTATTCAAAGCGAGGAAACAAGCCTTGGCTCTTGTTGGTTGCGCATTGCTAGCTCGACATTAATGATCCTACATCTCAACACCTTCCCCACCGCGCCCTAGCCATACCCCGGCCGCACATAGACACCCTCACGCCCCTTGCTACCAACCGGCACCATGGCCGTAAGCGAACGCATATCACAGCTCATGAGCGCCCTCGACACCGGATCTGGTCCTGATACATCTCGTGCCACTTCTCCCGGTGGCGATTGGCGACAGGCCAACGGCACCGTCAACGGGGCTGATGACAGGCGTCGCCCACGGACATTTCCATACTTTGAATACCTTCCATACCAGACAGAAGATCAGAGCGATCGCGAGGAGAGTCTGAACACATGTTTGAAGCACCTCTATATTGCCGTCTCAGCGGGCGACTTTGCGCCGGGCGCAGTACACTGGACACGCGAGATTCGGGGCTGGCTATCACTCAAGTTTGATCTTCCCCGCAGCACGCGGGTGAAGCTGGTGAACCTTTACTATGAGCTGGCGTTGGCCCCCGGCCTAGACTATTTGGTGGCCGAGCGCTTTGCGAGCATGTTCATGGTCTTGACTAAGTAGGTGACGCTGAAGCTGGATTTTGGATGACGAGTCGACACTGACAACTTGACAGGCGTAAGCACTACCTCCGACCTGGCATAGACCTGGTACTCGATTGGCGGCCATTGTATAGAGAGTTGAAGATGTTCGTGCTGCCCTCAGAGTCGGGAGGCTCGCACCCGCCCAACGTGAAGCGGAACATCCGCACCCTGACCAAGATGTGCACTTTTGCACAGTCATACTTCGATCCCAAGGATATACCAGCCATGCTAGAAGAGCTTCTGCCCTTTTTCAGCACATCTTTTAGTGAGAATGCATTCGTCGTTGTGGGGCTGCTCAATCTGCTACTTCCAACCCACCCAGCGCCAGAGGACATGAAGCACCTGCTACCGCAAGAGTATCTTCCCACATTTTTCCACTTGTGGTCACTAGTAAACCGATCGCGACTCTTTGATGCACACTATATCGACACTCTGTCGAGGTTGGCGCGGGACAACCTGACAGCGCCACATGTCCCCTTTTCGCAGTACGGCATCTTCACAGGAGAGCAATCGTCTCAGATATTCACAGCGATTCTGCGGTTACTTGAGATCCCAGTTGGTCAAGCAACATCCCCGTACAGTAGTTCTGTCGACCTTGGGGCGGGGTTAGCTGTGATGCTGGACCGCGACCCGCGCAAGCATCCGTCTACACACCACATTGCTCGCATCATCGCCATGTCGTTGTCACCTGCATCCGCTGATCATCCAGACTCCACACTTACCAAGCTAGAGGGTCTAGTTCAAGCGGTAGAAACCTTCTTCCACCCTTCCAACTCTGGGAGCTGGACTAGGCCGCTAGCACAGTTTGTGTACTACCTGGCAGATATCTTTGTACTGCGTTGGAACCGAGAACATAGCGGTGAGATGGATGTGCCAGAAGAGCGACGACTCAATGATGCAGTCAAGCGACGCTTTGTGCTCTGCCTGCGCGAGGTCACGTTCATGGGGATCTTCTCTAAAAGCGACAAGGCTGTGCAATACGCCCTGTCCACTTTACAGAGTCTGGCGTATCTCGAGCCCAACCTCATTCTTCCAGGTGCATTACAGCGGATTTACCCCGCGATGCAGGGACTCGTCGAGGTTCATCGCACAATCTCGTCTATTCGTGCGTTGCACATGCTTTCAAAGGTCATGGCCAAGACAAAAGGCTTCCGGTGCCACGTTACGTCGGTGCTTGGGCTTGCGCTACCCGGTATTGACGCCAACGACCTGGAAAAAACGCTACATACCTTGCAATATATTCAGGGTGTGTGCTACCTTATTCCGTTCCAGGATCTCACAAAGGCAAAGAAGGCGGCAAACGAGGAAACGTCCAGAGACGGAGCAACTACACCTTCAGATGACGCTGGTGGTGACACCGGCCTGGCTGTGGAATGGATCACAGCGCAGGTTGAACGACTGGAAAATGCCAATGGTAACATTGAGATTAACTACGGTGAAGAGCTCAGTGATCAAGACGAGGCTATGATTCTACGGTCCTCCACGACTGGACTCAATGAGTTTCTCATTACATTCCTTGGTCGTGTCTTCACGCTATTGGAGAATCTGCCAGATGCATCTAGGGTCCGCAGTGGCTCCCCTGAGGAATATGTCGTCAACCAACTTCCAGCGGCTTTCACGCCACTTCTTGCTGCGCTCTCTCCCGAGTTGTACGATATCGCACTTGATAAGATTGCAAACTTCATCACGAACCACGTGGTTCATCAAGCAAAAGACGCCATTGCGTTCATCTGCAACAGTCTTGTTAAGATCAACCCTGAGAAAGCCCTCAAGCGCCTTTTGCCACATCTTCTTGCAGGTATCCGCACTGAGATTGATGAAATCGGCGCTGGCTCGACGCGAACTACAGGTGCAGAAGTGCTTCCACGTGATCGTGCACTTGTCTGGAATCTCTGCATTCTTAGCATGTGTGTTGTCCATGTTGGCGACGCAGTTCTTGAATGGAAAGATGAGCTATTTGAGATTGCAGAATACATGCAGCAGAAGTGTCGGGGCACACCTACTGTGCATGTTTCCAACTTCATCCATCACTTGCTGCTCAATCTTACTTGCACCTACACTATCGACTACTCCATCTATGAGCAAGATGAGCTTGAACAGGGCTTGTCAACAGAGTCATGGGGTAGACAGGTTGATATCAAGAAGCTGGATATCAAGTGGCACACTCCCAGTTCAGAAGAGATCGACTTCGCTATCAAGCTTTTCGAAACTCATGCTAACAACGCAATGACGGCACTTCATGCCCTCACACAGCCGGACTCTCCAATCAAACGCGAAGGTACTGGAAAAGATTGGTCTGATGAAGTATCTCGCAATCTTGTTTTGTTGCGACTGATCATTTCTGGCATCTCGGTCTTGTTTGATGTTCGGCATGACCAGGTCGCAGATGGCAACAACGCCTCAGACGATGGCTCAGATCCAGACGCGATGGACACAGAAGGTATCGATGACGATGCTGGTCTCGGCGAAGCTGAAGACGAAGAGGTCAAGCCTACTTTCCAGTACGAAGCTGGCTATCCGCTCCGTCGTGGTGACAAAAACTACACCCTTGTCCACGACTTACGTAGGCAGGTTGGTGAGATGCTTCACAGCGTACATCAGTTCTTGATTGAGAAGCAACCCGATGATGTGCCTTGCTTCAACTCGTTGTACAATGCCTATCGCTCATGGTTCATTGACGTCGGCATTGAGCGATCTGCTCATGTGCTTGATCGGATTTCAAGACTTTTGGAGAACGACGAGCGACCTTTTAGGTTCAGTGGACTGCGCAAGCAGTATCCAAGACCCCTGCTAGTCCGGCGGGCAAACGTCTACCACCTTCAGCGGCTGAGACACAACGCCAACCCGCGACCAAAGACAGATCTTGACATGACTCTGTTACTTGACCTTGCCGAATCTAGCATCTCTCTCTACACAGAGATTCGACGTACTGCGCAGACCGCCAATGAATCAGCCGTTAAGTGCGTGCTGGGCGCTAGGCCGCTTGTCATTCCATCCTTACTAGATGCTTTCGTCAAGGCTGTCGCTGAGAGTGATTACCCTCGCATCAAGGGTGCCATGTTCGCTCTTCTGTTTGGTAGTTTGGCAAAGACAATTAGTCGAGACTGGCGATTTACTCCCAAACTGATCAAAGCCTTTATCGAAGTTACTGGTGCCGACAAGCCTTCGGTGCAAAAACTTGCCACCAACGCCACTTTTCAAATCATGGACATGGGTAAAGCAATGGAACGTATGGTCATTCTGCCCAAAGAGGTAGTGGAGTCTATTGCGTATGTCATTGACTCTAGTGAGGGTGACAGTGTACATACCAAAGTCACCAAGCGACGAGACTACATCAAGAAGAAGCGAGCTCGTATCGAAGACAAGAAATCTGAGCTATCCAAGGAGCTTGTGGAGATTGCCAACACTGAACATTGGAAGAAGGTCAGCAGAACCGCGGCCATTATCGTCAATCTAGGCATGCGTTACGACACTGTTGCATCCGATGAGATGATCGACCTTGTCACCAAGGGATCCATTGACCAGCATCCTAGTCTCCGGGGTTTGTATGCTGGAGCCCTCATCGGCCTCTACTCAGTCATTCAGACACGTGCCATCACGGGTCACGACTATGAGAAATATCTGTTGAACGAAGAAGATCTGCCAGATAAGATTTCGGTGGAGACAAAGCCAGAAGATCCTAATTGGACGGCAGAGTACTTGGCCGCATTCGCCCAGCCAGAAGCCAAATATTATATCGACTTCGATTATCCTGGATGGTTGGTTTGGACCAAAAGTATGACTGCGTTCAAGCCAAATGCCCCACAGCTGTCATATGACGAGGTTGAGAACGGGGTTCGCCAGAAGATCGCGAAGCATCTTACGCGATCTTGGTTCTCCAACTATTTCGCTTTCATGAAGCAGGAGCCACGCGATAACAGCGCTGATCGTTTCCGCATGTCAAGTGCGATGGTATTGACCCATTCGTTCGATCTTGTGTTCTGTGGCCTAACAGAAGCTACATTTGAAGACATCAAGGATCTGACTCAGTCGGTATATGCTGATGGCAGCGACAAGCATCAACACCGTGCGACTGCTGAAATCATGGCTGCATTGCTTTCATGTGCACCAGATCTCAAAGCCGATCAGCGGGAAGCGGTGTGGGAATACGTCTTTCCTATCGTCCGCGGCATCTTCCAGGACGGTCTGACGCCAGAAAATTCCGGCTACTGGACTACCTTCCTGCATGTCGTGTTGCAATCTAAAGATCCTCGACGCGGATGGCCGCTTGTTGATTGGCTGGCCAGCTTCCGCCTCGATATGGATTCCAACGCCGCTTTCAAGGAGAGCTCAAAGATTCACTTACTTACTCAGTGCATCTGTGATGCTGGTTGGCATTTCCGGTTGGAGAAGCCAATCTTGGAAGACTTCATGAAGCATCTCGACCATCCGTACAAGGGCGTGCGTGAGGCTATGGGTCAGACTATTGCAAGCATTTTCAGGACGCGTTACCACGAATCATATAAAGATGTTGGTACGCTCATGAAAGCACAAAAAGATGCTTCATCAATCGGAGTCCGGCCTTATCAACCTACGGAGGAGTTTAAAAAGACAATTATCGACGTCTTCAACCGACTTGAAGTATGGCGCCAGGAGCGTCCTGCAGGACAGCAAACGCCTTCTTCTTACACATCTGGTGGCAAAACAGTCTTGCTCTGGCTCGACACCACTCTCTCTTCGTATGAATGTACATCACTCGTCAGCTTCTTCCCAGATGTCTTCATGGAGCAACTACTCCATATGATGGACATCAAAGAGGATCCCGAGTTGCAATCACTCGCCTATCACGTTTTCCGGCATCTGCCAAACATCCCGCATCGTGAGGGCGAGGATTCAGAATTCATTGCTGCGCTCATTCGGATTGGACGCAATGCAACTAGCTGGCATCAGCGTCTCAGGATCTTGATCAATATTCAGGTCATCTACTTCCGTCGGTTGTTCTTGATGAGCGAAGAGCAGCAGCAGAGCATGTTCGATTGCGTCTCTGCTATGTTGTCAGACTCTCAACTAGAGGTGCGTATGGGCGCAGCTACTACCTTGTCTGGTATGATCCGTTGCTCGCCGATTGCATTCCGTGATCGCCAAGTCTCAACGCTCAATGAGCGGTTCACCAAGCAGCTTGCCAAGAATCCACTGCCAAAGAAGCGCATTCCAGGCACACCAACGACTGAGCAAGGCAAGCTTGTACTCACTCGCCATGCTGCTGTGTTGGGCCTAGGTGCACTTATTCAAGCATTCCCTTATCAGAGTCCTCCGCCAACCTGGTTACCGGAGGTGCTGGCTACGCTTGCAAGAAAGGCAGCAGCTGATCCTGGTATGGTGGGCAAGAGTGTCAAGACTATTCTTGCAGACTTCAAAAAGACCAGGCAAGATACTTGGCATGTGGACGTTAAGGTATGTATCTCAATCTCCAGAAGATCCGCGAGTGTATCTCGATACAAAGTAGATGCTAACAACAAAAATAGGCGTTTGAGCAAGAGCAGTTGGAGGATCTGGAGGGTGTATTGTGGAAGAGTTATTTTGCTTAGATGCAAAACAGACGTTCGAGGACCAAGGCAGGCGGCAATGACGGGAAAATGGGGAGAGGGAAGGGTCATGTACTATAACCAATAGCAGAGAGGATCATAGCTATGAATGATATGATAGGGTCCTGGGCGCATAGCGCTATGTGGAGAATATGTTATTCTCCATAGTTCCGTGCTTATATATCAAAACAGTACATTTATGACTGTACCTGTTGCTTACTCATGCGTTACGGACGAAGAGACCGATCCTTTAGTATTCCGCCCTTAAGAGTTGCAACTGCCCCTCTTGAACCCCACTTGGAAAGGTTTCGGCCGCATCTACCCATTGACATCATACTTCTCTAACTCATCTCTTGTCAGACGTGCCCAGACTACCTTAGCTTGAGGCTTTTTCTCTTGTTCTTTTACACTTTTCAAACAATGTCGCTCACAGTACTGTCTGAATCCGACGTCCGCACCCTTCTTTTGCAATTGACCAAGCAGGACATACTGGACTTGCAGCAAAGCCTCGCAGATGCACTGCATCACTACTCGACAAGTACCGAAGAAGAAAGTGACAATGGGTGCTGCGAAAGTTACCAGTCTGCCGGGACGACTTTGAGAAGCAAGAATGGAGGCACAATGACGGTTACACCGGCTAGTAGGTATGTTTGGCATTATTCCTTTCTTTTTGAGTTTACGTATGAAAATTGGTGTAACTTGTTGCTGATACATATGATATAGCAACGATGGCCTCGGAGTCAAGATTACAACACATCTGAGCGATAACATTAAGGCCTCAAGGTTTTCTGACACTGAGTCGATAACTTCTTCGCTGGGTTCAGTCACAATATCTCAGAATTCGATAGCATCAACTAAAAGTTTGGAGGCCACAACATCGCCTCGTCACTTGCTGTCGCTTGCATCCTCGTCTACGCAACATGGCAGTCTTACCTTATTCGACAACTCCGGCAAGCTGCGCGCCCTCCTCAACACCTCTGAAGTGACGACTTTCCGCACTGCGCTCGCAAGCACCATGCTGTTTAAGAAACGGCGCAATGTACATGACGTGGTCGTCTTTGGAGCCGGGCGACAAGCCTACTGGCATATACGCCTCGCCCTCTTACTCCGAGGCGAAGACATCCACCACCTAAACATCATCAACCGTGATTTCGGGCGCGTGCACCAACTCCTCGAGACACTGTACAACCCACACGAAGCACCCCAGTCATTCAATCCAGATCCACAACATATTCCCGCGTACAGACAAACAGCTCCATCACAAACTGAAGCCCTTCACAGGCCAAAGATACAAATCCTGACCCCTTCGCATGGAGAATACACTCGCTACCTACACGATACACTTCGCTCCAGCAGCTGCATTTTCCTCTGCACACCATCCGCAACTCCGCTCTTCCCAGCAGCCATCTTGACCAACCCCGAAGGCAGAAAAAAGGGTCGCTACATAGCAGCCATTGGCTCCGTTTCCCCCTCAATGATAGAACTGCATCCAGACATTGTACGGCAGAACGTCGCGCCAGAGCACGGGCATCGCCATTTTCACAAGCATGCCCAGCAAGGGGGTGCGATTGTGGTCGACAGCGTAGATCGGTGTCTGAAGCAAGCCGGAGAAGTGGTACAAGCAGGATTGGGTCCTGAGCAAGTTGTTGAAATCGGAGAGTTGGTCATGTTGAAGCGGGATGCAGAAAGGCGGCGCATGGAGTGTATGGCGAGCAAGAAGATGGAGGATGAGGGGCTTGATGTGGGTGGTGTTGAGCTGGGTGAGTCTGAGGCGGCGAAGAAGAAGAAGAAGAAGAGACGGAGTGGGGATGGGAAGGAGAAGGATAAACACCATGAGAGTGAGGATAAGGCACATAAGAGCCTGATAGAGTGGTTAGTCAAGGGTAACGTGATATACAAAAGCGTGGGATTGGGCCTGATGGATGTCGTGGTTGGCGGCGAGCTGGTCAACTTGGCGAATGCACGAAACATCGGTACTAGGATTGACAACTTTTAGAATGAGTTGCCTCGACCGTGCCCAAGCATGGGATTACCTACAGAGCACTCTTGTGAGTGCAGCTAGCTAGCTTTAAATCAAAGTCGGCAAGCCCGAGAAATATATCAATGCCTAATATGCAAGAATCTTAGCCAACAACATCACATCACATAATTAGTGTAAAAAATGGCGTGCGTTATCAAATCGATTCCAGTCAATGTAGTCGTTAGCGACTTCTTTTAACCCTCCTAAACTCCGTTGGTATTGTGAACCGCATACATGCAGAGATAAGAGACACGCCATAAAGTCATCATGAACCCTTCCAAACACCTCAAGACACGCTTAGATCTTGATGGCGTTCTCAACAGCCTTCCTGCGCTTCTCCATGCGAGCGTTGGCCTTGGCACCCATGATACCACCACCCCAGTGGCGGGAAGCCTCCTTGTGGTGTGACTCGAGGTAACCGTCGTTGACAGCGGTAACGAGCTTCTGGAGCTCGTTCTTGTCCTCGGAGCGGACCTCGGTCAGGGCCAGGACGGCGGCAGTCTTCTGGTGAACAACCGTACCGAGACGGGCCTTGCCCTTGACAATGACGTATGGGACACCCATCTTGCGGCAGAGAGCGGGCAGGAAAATGACCAGCTCAATGGGGTCGACATCGTTGGCGATGAGGACGAGCGAAGCCTTCTTGTTCTCAATGAGGCCAACAACGTGGTTCAGACCGTACTTGGCGACGTAGGGCTTCTTGGAAACATCCTCCTTCTTCTTGCCCTCAGCGACGGCGGTGGCCTCCTTGGTGAGCCTCTCCTTCTTCTCGGCCTTGGTCTCGGGGCGGTACTTGTTGAGGAGCTTGAAGGACTGGGTGGCGCTGAACGTGGGGGATTAGCTATCGAAGACAAAAAATGGCAATGGATAACATACAGGTTACGGTCGGCAACGTGCTGGAACTGAGCGATGCTGGATCAAAGTCAGACCTGAGCCATTGTATAAAGTTTATTTGTGGGAGACGAACGAAGGAGGAACCTTCAGGCGCATGTTGAGGATCTTCTTCTGGCGCTGAAGGCGGACGTAGGCGGGCCATCGGACCATGCGGCCGAGGTTGCGCTGGGGCTGGATGTCCTGGCCGATGCCATAGTTGCGGGGCCTCTTCTCGATGAGAGGGTTCTATATTGGTTAGCTGAAAAGTTTTCCAGAGGACTGAATGTGCGCAATTGGATTGGATTGGTGGTTGGAAGATAGAGAGGGCGAATGGAAAAGCTTGTGCTCAGCAGCAAAGGTAATGGTTTGATACAAATGGAGAGAGGGGGGGACTCACCTTCTGCTTCTTCGCCGCAGCCGACTTAGAAGTGGCCTGGGGGAAAGCCGCAGGCTTCTTACCGCTTCCTTTTGGTGGCATTTTCTGTCATAGAGAACAAACCATTAGCGAATGTTCAACGCATTTTCGGTTTGAATCTCGTAAGAGCGAGAAGGCCTTGCGGACCGTTCTACAACTCTAGCCATCCTCGCGCTGCGTTCTCTTGCACAATGCAGAGAGATTGCGGCGGAAATGCTAACGAGCATTCATTGCGTGGAAGTGCGCTTACGTTGTGTGTTGGCGGCGGTCGACGAAATTGACGTTGGCGAAATTGGGCTTGACGAAGAAATCGAGAGCGGGCGCAGAAGTCGCTCCTACCGAAATCCAACGCGAAGCGAGTGGGCGCGGAAGTGGAATAACCTTTGGCCGAAGCTAACGCTCTGCCCAATCGGAGTGCGGCAAGTCCCTCTACTACCACGACATCCCGAAACGCAACATGAAGGGCGTATCCAAGTCTTCTGGACAACGCTCAATTAGTCGTCTGGTCTCATTGTTTTGTTTGTGGAAGGGAATTCTCCTCACACTTGCAGCCTTCTGTCCAGGCCCTGGGTACGACACATCCGGGCTTATACTGCTGGATGCAAGCGTGCAGCGTCACGGCCATTTCAATGTCTCTACACGCTTTGAGCGATTCGTGCTCAATCTGGTCCGATGGGACGCTTTGTACTTTGTAAAGTCAGCTGAGCGTGGGCTGATCCATGAACAAGCATGGGCGTTCAGCGGGGTGTACTCGCGTCTCCTCAGCATAGTAACGGGTCAATGTGAGTAAGAAGCGTCTACTGTTTCCGGAAGAGTGCTGATTGCCAGCAGTCGTGGGTGGGAGCGCAACGCCTCCGCTTCACTATTACGTGCTGGCTGGCATTATTGTTTCCAACGCTTGCCACCTCATCTCTGTGCTAGTGCTGCATCGTCTCCTGACCCTGGTTCTGGAACCGCATCGACAAAAGACGATCCCCTTTGTGGCGGCCGTTCTGCATGTCTTGACACCTGCATCTCTGTTCATGTGTGCGCCATATGCAGAGGCCGTGTTCTCTCTCCTGAACTTTACGGGTATGCTTCTATACGCCCAATCCAGGATCATAGCTAGAAGCACAACCTTTTCGATTCAAGAGGACATCCAAAAAGTCGGCGCTGGTCTCTTTTTCGCCGTTGCAACTCTTATGAGGAGCAATGGCTTGCTCAGTGGCACTATACTATTATACGATGTCGTGAGATATCTTTTTGCCCTCATGACTAACCAACGGAGCATTCATGACGTAAGAAGGATCCTTATTACTTGTATTTCGGGTGGCATGATAGCCATTGCCTTTATCGGGCCGCAGTATCTTGCATACACAGAGTTCTGCAATGGAGAGAGTGGCGCTGAAATCCGACCATGGTGCGAGAAACGCCTCCCAAGCATCTACTCATGGGTACAAAGCTATTACTGGTAAGTGACCTCCATGAGATGCTTACTCTTCTAACCTTTCTTCAGGAATGTGGGTCTTTTCCGGTACTGGACAGTATCGAATTTGCCCCTGTTTGCACTAGCAGCACCGATGCTATGGCTTCTGTTTACCTCTAGTGTTACCCTTCTCCGCAGCTGCGCCGGAGACCTGTTGCATAAAACCCGTGTTCATAGAACCAGCGTTACCCAGGATGCAGGTTCTGCCATATGCAAGCTACCTGAATTGGCACTCCCACAATTATTCCTGGCTGTCTCGGCTGTCACAACTTTTCATGTTCAGATTGTCAATCGCATTGCCTCGGGCTATCCTGTTTGGTACCTGATGATTGCAACATGGTTGGTAGACTCGCCGGGATTGTCTTCCACGAAGAGCCGTTCGTCGACGGCGCAATGGTTAGTTCGCGGTATGATTGTTTACTCACTAGTTCAGGGCATGCTTTATGCGAACTTTCTCCCGCCAGCTTAGGCTTTTAGATTAATGGTCTTGCTTAGTGAAAGATAGGGTTTACTGAAGTCAATCATAGTATTTTTTCTGATTAATTAATGAACCATAATGCAGCCTTGTGCAGCCTTGAAAGCTCTTTCAGTTGATGAAAACGGTCTTGGGTTGAGGTTTCACCCAGCAAGGTGAGCAAGATCAACATGCTGGGTCGTTGAACGTGCAGTCGAGGTGTAACGGGATTAACTCGTCGTTCCTGTCCTCCATACTGTATGCTGATAGATGAGTACCAGGACTCGATGAACGAGGATGTAACACAGCTTCGTAAACACGGTCGCGCAGATATTGGTGGCTATCAAAGCGTGTAATCTAGCCGTTGAGCGGTCGATTCTCCCCGCGTTTGGTGCGACACACTTTGCTGCCATCCAGTACGCCTATTCCAAGCCATATTTCTGGTACCGCCAAGACTCTGGACTAATGTGGCTTGGGCTACCAATGGAGTGTCAGCTGGTATGTGGGTTTCCCAGTGCTATGGTTCTGGATGTTCTGCCAGGCTCAGTGCTGCCATATATCTTTTACAAAGGCAGGTGGAGACGGCACCCTACAGCAAACGTCTAGTATCACAACTCGAAGCGAACGGTTGTCAGCAACACGGCCTGGGTTTTAAGTATCACACGGGCCTAGCGTTTGTGCAACAGTTCATGTACATCATCTTACTCCTGGATTCGTTAAGACGTGAGTTCCCCTATTTGTGGCTGTGGCGTGCCATGGCTGTCGTATTCAGCAGTGGCATCAACCTGTCTCTGCTTACTGTAGAGTGTACGCCTGGCAATCCACATAGTACCTGCATAAGCTGCAGGAGCCAAGTGCCTGGCGACGCCTCAGTTGACAGCCTAATCTCTAACCAAGCAAGAATACTACGTGGCGCTGTGGCCACAGGCTAGTCGGCTTGCCGCGCCATTGTTTATGACCAGCGCCCGACCGCCACTGGCGACACTGGAGCAGTACACCAACGCTCGAGTTCGGCATGTGTCGCTTGAGAGCAATACATCTCGAATGAGACTTGCAAGAAGGCGTCACTGGCACCGGACCAGCGCCAGGGAGTGGAGCAAGATGGGGATGTTTGGACTGATGAGGGCAAGACTCCAATAGCAGTAGTTCAGGTACCAGACTTGCAGTACAACGACACGAACATATAAATTCTGCTCTACTGCTCGACAATGGTGGTTGGGCATGCAGCATTGACTGTGAGCTATCTACAATCGCGATTGCCATTCAGAGCCAAGATGAAGTTGTCTACCTTTGCTACCCTCTTTGCTCTTTCGACGGCTTTAGCAGCCGTGCTGGAACCCAGACAACAATGCTCCATGTCGGACGCTTGTTACAGTGCCGTCTTTGGCGATGGCAGCTTCTCACGCGTTGTTCAGGCAGTGGAGGACTGTGAGGACTTTCTCACTACCAGCGTGATTTGGCACCCCATGTATGTGAATGCGCCTCTTGGAGATGTCTACTTGGGAACTCGGACTGATCATGTTTACTGCAGTATTACTCTTACGGTTCTCAGTCAGACCGTCTCAACGACGACTTCACCATGCCCACCCACTGTGCCCGTGACACCAAGCGAGGCACTGCCCCAGTCGACAGTGTCGCAGGGTAAACGACTTGTGGTGCGCCAGGCTCTCCCTACAGATTTCTCCACCACTACCGTATTTGGGCCGCGACCTTCGTATGCCACGCAGGCCTGTAACTCTGGGGCCTACTCGTCTGCCTGCTCATGTGCAAACATTACTACCGCCTTGGTGTCGTATCTTGGAACAGTAAGTAAGCTCGTAGATGTGGAGGGAGACTGGACAGAAAGGAAATATGTTTTGGAATGCTAAGTTGTTGCTAGGTTGTGACGAATACGGCCACGACTACGATTACTTCTTTTGTGACCACCAGGGCGTCTTGCCCGAGTATCTCTGTATCGCCTGTCTCATCTACTTCGGCTTCGTCGTCTTCAACATTGTCTAGTAGTAGCGCCGTGTCGAGTGTGGCTTCTTCTAGCAGCCCAAGCAGTTCATTATCTAGTTCGACCTTGTCGTCCTTGTCACAATCTAGCAGCAGCACCAGCAGCGCATTGTCGAGTTCAACGACATCCTCAACTGGATTAAGTAGTGCCTCTGTTAGCAGCACAGTCAGTACCTTGTCTAGTTCAGACACGTCTTCGAGTGAAAGCAGCAGCTCGTTGGTTAGCACATCATCTAGCGCGACAAGTAACTTTAGTAGCTCGAGTACTACGATAACGGGATCAAGCTCATCGTCTACAAGTCTGAGCAGTCTATCTAGCACTGGAAGCGAAGTTGGCTCGTCAACTACAGTGAGTAGCTTGGCGAGTAGCTCAGCGAGCAGTTTGAATGGCACATCGTCTGGCACAAGCGTGACAGCTACTAGCAGCGCATCTATATCGGCGGATAGCTCGTCTAGTAGCTTGAGTGGATCGTCTTCAGCCACAAGTGTGGCGTCCAGCACTGGCTCATCAACATCTCCCAGCAGTCTGTCCAGCAGTTCGTCCAGCAGTTCCAATGGGACAAGCGTGGTTCCGACCAGCAGCCCCTCGGCAACGTCGATCAGCTCGTCAGTTCTCTCGAGTAGTGCATCCAGCACTTTGAGCAGTTTTATCAGTACTTCGAGCAGTCCATCGGCTACTTCTGAGAGCTCTTCAGTGACTCCGAGTAGCTCGTCGTCATCGTCGATTGTGGCTACAAGCTCATCGAACAATACTACGTCATCAGCAACTGCTTCTATCAGCAGCGGTAGCGCAACTTCCTCTCAATCATCAAGCAGTAGTTCATTGTCGGATTCGGTTAGTAGTAGCTCAGGATCGTCGACGGTTGCGTCGGTTAGTTTGAGCAGCAGCAGTAGCAGCAGTGTGTCATCGTCGTCTCTTGTCTCATCCGTATCCAGTACGTCGGCGACGTCTTCAACGACAGCCACATCAACAAGCGCATCGACAAGCAGCGCAACGCCCAGCGGGCAACCGTGTGAGGGGCTTGGGGTGGAGCGGTGCGAGGGCGTGTGCCGGGACACGACGTTGGATGCACTGAACTGCGGGCGGTGCGGTAATGCGTGCACAAGTGGACGGCAATGCATCAACGGCGTATGTGCATCTCGGCCCTGCGACTCGACGTGCAACTTTGACCGACTGTGCGGGTCGGGCAGCGGGGGGTCGACAAGATGCATTTGCGCGACGACAATTGAGGGCAACGGAGTATGCTTTGACAAGAACCGGTACAGCTGCGGCGACGTCAACCTTGTCAGGTGCCAAAGAAGCGTGTTCGGGCCAGAGGGGTGTCCGATTGGGACGGTGTGTGTAAGGGACGTGTGCAATTGTGGCGCCGTGCCGGCAGCAGGCATTTGTGTGTCTACAAGCGGGTGTGGGGATTCGGGGACGAATGTCTTGGGCAGTCTGGTCAGGATTGGGGAGATGGAGAAGCGCAGGAGGGCGGCGAGGGGTGTGGGGGGCTAGGGCATGGCGGGGGAGGATGAAGAGGAGAAGGCATCGTGGGGAGGGGAGATGGTGAGTGCGTGGCGGTGGTGGTGGTGGTGAGTGTTGGTGGGGGTGCACGGGGTTTGTTAGGTGCTTGTTGCATAGTGATAGTGATGATAGCATACTCGGACATAAATGGAGGATGAATAAGTAAGGATAAGTAATATGTGCACACACATATATAGACAGGCGATGCAGGCAGGAACCAGGCAGCACAGGCGGGATCGGGCAGGTGCTAGGGACAAATAAGGCGTGTTGTTGTTGTTTTTATTGTTATTTGTTGTCGATGGGAATCGAAGCAGGTGGCCGAGGCATGAATTTGCACGTCGATAAGAGTTAGCGGAATGACGGTGGCATGCATGGGCGTTTGCTCCACGGGCTTGCAGGGCTTGCAGGACATGCTCTCCGCCTTAGCGCGGCGTTGCTGGGACGATTGCCCGCAATGTTTATCCACCAACTCGGCAGGGCATAGCCGGCCCATGCAGCCAGTGCAACCACAACCACATCCACACCCGCCAACACCATCAACACCACCACCATTTGTCTGCCATGTCTGCCCTTCTGCTGCCCTAGACCTGTTCACCCCGTTTCAAGTCCCCCCTCCCCTTCCTCTCCTTTTCTTGCCTTCTTCTTCTTCTTCTTGCCTGGAGCCTGACCTCAAGTCCGCGCCGGACATGGCTGCTGCTACCACCACCACTTCTGCCGCGGGTGCTGCTGCCGCACAACCACCAGCACCAACAACAACGGGCCATCGTCGTAATCGCTCCGCGGTCCTGCGATCTCTTATATCATCCAGGGGCCACAGGCGCTCGCCCACAGAAGGCTCTGCCATTCCATACACACCAGTGTCCGCTTCGCCGCCCTTCCTTCCCGCCCCCAGCCTCCAGCCACCACTTCTCCCGCCAGACCACCCTCACAGCGCCAACCAGTCGTCGCCCCGCAAGTCCAACGACACCCGCTCCACAAGCACCAAGAAGAGCCTGCACAAAAAGTCGCTCAGCTCCGTGTCGCTGCGCTCGCTGGCAAAGCGCGCCGACGACAAGCCCAAGGAAAAGAAGTCGTCCGACTTGAGGCGGTCACAGGACGAGCCAGAGAAATCCCCCCGCCCCAAGTCGTCGACCAATCTGGCCGCCATGTTTAGCAAGGCCAAATCCCGAGACCGCTCCCCCACCAAGGAATCGAGGGACAAAGAAAATACTGAGCCGTCCCGCGCCGCCTACGCCCCACCGCTTCCTTCTACTCCCATCTGGGCAGAGTTCAGCTCCCAGTCCGCCATGCCCACAGCCTCCAATGCCCCTCTGGACAGCCGTCCCCGCACCAGCACCGAGGGAGGCCTTGGCCGATTCCCCCCTGCCGACTACTCGCCCTCCAAGCAGCAGCGCAGCTTCTTCGAGTACGGCCAGCCTGCGGTGCGACCCCCCGCCACCAAACAGCGGCCCAAGTCCATGTTTGCCGCCAGCTCGTCCACCACCTCTCTACTCCTTGATACCTTTTCGCGCAAGAGGAGCAACGAGCGCATGCCCCTGTCCGACACACAGGGCAATGAAGGCCGCTTCAGAGACCCTTCTCCCAGCAAAAGCAAGTCCATAAGACCAGCGCTTGGTAGAGCTAGCACCGATAGTGGCAGCAAGGACTTCAGTGTTAAGCCCATGGCACCGCCCCCGCCCCCAGCCTCACCAAAGAAACAAAACAGGGTCATGGCCGCCGTCGCTGCCTTTAACGGCAAGGCTAAGCAGGCCGACGGTCCCCCAACCCCCACTGTCAAGCACGACCCCAAAGTCGTCGATGCCGAATTTGAAGAGGTTCTTGTAAGTTTTGTTGCTTCCTCGGCCTGCTCGTGTGCTCACCCCCACAGGAATCGCGAAACATCCCTACCCACCAACGTGCGCAGATGAGGACATTGAAGCTCGAGGTCAAGGCCGATTTTGTGCGCATGCACAAGCTCGACACTCCTCAAACTTCGCGCAGCTCGTCTGGCACCGCTTCCGCCGGCGAAACTACCAAGCCGGCAGCACAAAAGACGTCCAAGTCGCGGCACGGATCTCCCGTGGATGACGTTGATCCTGACGCACAAGCAGATCCGTCTGGCTACTCGACCAAGCGCGAGCGTCCGAGGAGCAGGACATTTACCTTCAACAGAAATGATTCACCGACCAAGAAGCAGAAAGGCGACTTGGGTGAGCGCAAGACGTCTGCCAAGACTGCAACCATCCCAAAGTCTCCCTCTATGCGGTCCTTGAGGTCTAACCATTCAGAACGTTCCGTGTCGAACGGTGCCAAGTCGGTCAAAGCTGACGAGTTTATTGCTTACTTGAAAAAGACACCAAAGCCCCAAAACGTCGAGGTTGGCAAACTGCACAAACTTCGCCTGCTCATTCGCAATGAGACAGTTGACTGGGTTGACAATTTCATCCAGGATGGTGGTATGACTGAGCTGGTGGGCCTCCTCCATCGCATCATGGAGATTGAATGGCGCGAGGATCACGAAGACACTCTGCTCCACGAGCTCCTTCGCTGCCTCAAAGGACTTTGCACCACTGCAACGGCCTTGAAGCAACTGAGAGAAATCTCCTCCACGCTCTATCCAGCTCTGCTTGCCATGCTCTTTGATGAGGAGCACAAAGGCCCGAGTGAGTTTACTACGCGTGAGCTCATCATCGAGATCATTTTCGCACACCTCTCTATGGCTCCAGAGGCCGAACTAGGAACTCGTGCTGCCGAACTGATGAAGTACCTCAAGGATCCCGTAAAGGAGAAGGAGACGTCGACAGTCCCCTTCATTCTTCAAATGCATCAGCCGCGTCCATACCAAGTTTGGTGCAAAGAGCTGTCTAATGTTACCAAAGAAGTCTTCTGGATATTCATTCATCATTTGAACGTAGTTCCGGTTCCACCAAGGCCAACAGAGGGCAAGTCTTATGCCAAGACTCACTTCCCAGGCCAGCGGGCTATTGTGCCAGCGGCGCCCTATGTCGGTGGTGTAGAATGGGACGCTACCAATTACCTCGCGACTCACGTTGACCTCCTTAATGGCATCATTGCTTCCATACCCACCCGCTCTGCTCGCAACCAATTCCGTCAGGAGCTCAAGGTTTCTGGATTCGAAAAGGTCATGGGCCATCTCCGTGCTTGCAACCCCAAGTACTATGGTGCAGTCCACGACAGCGTCAAAGTATGGATTGGGGCTGCCCTTGAGGATGACTGGGATGTCAAGACTGTGCGCATGGGTGCCGACGAAAGCAAGACCAGTGTTAGCCCTCTCAAACAGAGTCCCAAGAAGAAGGTTGAGGCCCCACCTCAGCTTCAGGCGCCCCCCAAAATGGACATTGGCCTTGGTCTTGGACTAGGTTTTGACAGGGAAATTTCCATCGGTCACTCGAAGAAGGTCGTTGACGACGACTGGATCTGATGTGTTTGATCAGTATTTGACGTTGAAAAACGTCTGCATTTCGATTGTGCTGAAATTGCGCAATCACTTCCTGGCCATATCCGGTCTTGGATAAAATGATCAGCATATCTTTTTCAGGTTTGTGGTACAGCAACCGTTACGACCCCCTTGAGCCCACGAACGTCAAGACCATGTCCAGCCAAGGCGCAACAAAACATTATGGGCGCACATTTATTACGGAGTCTTTGTTGGTTTCCCTTTTCCCGCGGACTTTGCATCGGCGCCATGGAGCTTTCTACTCACTCGCCTCATCTCAACATCTGCATTCCTTCTCAAGGCGTTGTTCCCTCGTTCTCCGCGGCTTTCCCCTCTTGCTTACTTTGGACCTGGAGCAACAAAACGCCTCCATTTACGACTTCCTTCTTTCTCTCTCTCTGTGTACCTCTTCACATCTCAATGTCTCTCTCTATCCATCACTTGTTTAGCAATGAAAAACACGACCTTGACGACCCGAGACGGCTGGTGTTTTTTATTTTATTTACCCTTTCTCCTGGGCCTTTTTTTTTAACTTTTATTTTCTCAATGTACCTTTTTGTGTCTTGCTTTTCATTCGTAATAGGATGAGCAAAGGGGTTAGGGTAAATAAAGTCTGCACTACACGAGATGAATTTGAAAGCAATTGAACAAACACTGTAGTGGAGTGCCATGACGTGCTTGCTTGTTTGTGGTTGTCAGTGAGCCATGCCCCTTGGACGGCGTAACTGATGATTGTCAAATTAGACATGTGTTGAATATCGGCACGGTAAGAATGAAAAGAGCCACCTAACAGACATTGCAAGACTTCACGGGGTACCCAATGAGGAGCGTAAAAGTAAGACAAAGAGATAATCCAAACAGGATATCATGAGGGGGCATCTATTCAACCACCGTTATTTACGCCCTATACCTTAATGTTTCCAACCGCTAACCCTCCTACTTTACATGAAAAAAAAACACCCCCCCCCCTACAATCCAACAGGGAAACCCAGAAGTCTAATCTGAGTTACAAATAGCCTACCCTGCATAACCCATGCCGCTAAACATTAGATGGTGCCAACGAGGAAGGGAACCAAAAAAAGAAAAGAAAAGAAAAGGAAAAAAAGGCAAGCGACTAGAAGGGCATCCAGAAGCCCCCCAAACATAAATCACGCCTTCTTCTTGCCCTTTCTCCTCGCCTTATTTTTCCCCACCTCCACACTCGCCCCCTCGACCTCACCCTCTTCCAGCCCCAACACCTCATTCGCCTCCATCTCCCTCAACTTCTCCTGCCCACTAATGAAAAAACTCAAGTCGCGATTCTGCTCCTCGAGGTCCGCTTTTTGTGTCTCCAATTCAGCAACGCGCTGTTCTGCCTCTTGGGCTTTAAGTTCCAGATGCTTGATGCGTGCCATGAGGGACTCATTGACAATCTGCTCTTCCTTGTACTGCTTTGTGAGTTTGCGGGCGAAATCGGATGCTTGGGCAGCTTTTTGGGCGTTGCGGGCGGATTCCTTGGTTAGGGAGGCGATGGTGGCAGTTGCGTTTGCGTGCTCGGTGGAAAGTTGGTCGAGTTTTTGGGAGAGAGCGGCTACGCTGCGAGTTGCTTCGTCGGCTGAGCTGGCGGCTTTGGCGGCTTTGTCGACGGCGCGCTCGAGTTGCTCTTCAAAGTATGCGCGTTGCGATTCGAGTTGCGAGGTCAGGAGGTAGGCGTACTCCATGCCCATGTTGTCTAGCTTCTCGCGCGGGACTGTGTCGTTAGAGTAGCCTGTCATACCGGGCGCGCTGAATGACTGGTTTGAAGCGGGCATGTCTACAAGTTTGCCATCGGCTTTGTTTTGTATGAGACGATGAACGTATCCGTCGCCTGCATAGTCCCAGACATGCTGCGTCACTACGTCCATGGCATACGTATGGCTTGTAGCCTCGTAATGTGCGAATGCGTGCGCCGAATCATAGCGGCCACATCCTATGTTACCGCAGATGAGACAGATCCAGAGGTTTTGTGTAGATCCGCAGACGCTACATTCGTTATCTGGACTGTCGCCATCAGCGCTGTGGTGTGAGGTAAAGGCGTCGTTTTGTGTATATCGACAGACGGGACAGCCTGAGCCTCGCCATTTCTCAAGGCAGGCACAATGAAAGACGTGCTGGCAGAGTATCGTGAGTAGGCCCGTCGTTTCGTCCATTCTCTCCAAACAGACAGGACATGTCGGTAGCTCTACTAGAGCCGGTGTAGGCGGAGCGTGTGGCTTTGCAGTGAGTGATGATGCTATTGACGGGCCATCGACTGGCGAGGAGACAGTAGTCGCTGGCGGAAGAGGAGCTGTGGGCTGCTTTGTTGCAGCGGGTGCGAAGGGATCGTTCGTCAGGTCCGGGTACGAAGTCGGGTCACGGTTTGAATCGCCATTTTGGAAGTTGATCGACTTGACAAAGACGACATGACAGTATTCCGGCTGGGTATGGTTAGCACTTACAATGATATAGATTTGCCCGGCTATTATCATCATCTCACCTCCATGCTGTTAAAAGGCTTGCCGTCCCACTCTTTCCTCCACTCGCGCGCCCTCTTTGCCTCGCGAAATTTCATGAGCACCATGTACTTGTTGGCTCTGCTTGTCCTAATCAGTCTGAAATGTGAGACGTGCTCCCTTGTCTGCTCCCCCATGAAGCCCAAAAAGTCCGACGGTGTCATATATGAAGGAACCGCCAGTATACACAGCGTTGTGCAGTCTTCCTCATTGAAGGTCTTGTCCCCTCGGTCCACTTCATCGTACAAGCCTGGTGTCTCCTGCCCATCCCGATACAGATGCACAACCCCCCAGCCGACTTCTGTATCCTTCAGGTCAGAGGGTATGAATTTACCCTTGGTCGCTAAACCGCCAGTATTGGGCGCATGCGAAGGGTGCTTAAGGGACTTTGCGCGAGATGGGGCGAGCTCAGTGTCATCGGCCTGGTTCATGTCGATGCTGAGAATGGAGATGATATCGAAGCGCCAGTCCCTGTGTGCAAAGCTCTGCGTCCGTCGGTGCGCAGGTCTCTTTGGGGGTTTGATGACGGGAACGGGGCTGTCGTGGTGATCCGAGAAAGATGGCCGGGTGCGCTGGCTGAGTCGGCGAGAAGTAGTCCGTTGCTCACGAGAGGTGGAGGGACCGCTGTGTGTGCGCGACGAAGGCGATGATGGCAAAGGAAAAGAACCCCAGGAAGCCCTTTGATGCACCGGGAGCTCCGAATGAAAAATGTCAGTCTGCGGTGGTGGGGTAAACGTCTTGTCCGGCGATGAGCGCGAGGGGTAAAGCTCGAAGGTAAGGTGAAAGAAATAGGTCGGCATCACAGTTTTTTGACTGAAGTCTGCATTTCGGATGTGCTGTCACGGCGAGTAGCTGGCACGATTCTGCAGCGGCTTGACACGCGACCGGATTGTTTGCGACCTGAGCTACATGTATGAAAATATGTATGTACAGATGTATGTATATATAAATGGCTGCAGTTGCGGCGGCAGCGGGCTAGTAGCGCGTCATCGCGCTTGGACTAAAAGCAGCATGCCGACCATCGGTATCAGCTATCCCCAACACCCTTCGTTCCTTGGGATAGCTGAATACCTCACGAGCAGTACAAGGCACAAGGACTTGATAATTAAACTGATGTATTTGACATGGTTCTGTGCCCGTACAAGCCACAGGCCCCGTCGTGATCCTCATGTCGCTGGTAAACCCTAAGACCCCGCCAAATGCGGACCGTAACTATCAATGTCGAAAACGCCCTAGCTATGCATATGTAACAAACAAAACGCCCATACTCCTGCATGTGTGCATGTGCAAGCATGTTTGCCCACACCTTGCTGTGCGCCAAAAGAACCGGTCAAGGCTATGCCTACACTAGTCCATGCCACATTACCACCTGAAATAATAAAACTCGGATGCCGTGTCATCAATTCGTTCGCCAAAGTGCGGTTCTGGGTATCGCTTTTGTACAAGTGGAAACATTCGCGCCAGCCCCAAATGATATGCTGTTTGTGTCTGTGTTTCGTGTCTAAGCCTAGGCCTGCTCTGCATCCATAGGCTCGGTATCAGTGACATCTTCAATCTCATGGCCCTTGGAATTAACAACAATGCGCCGTCCTCGCTGTTCAGCGGGAACACCGTCGCGTGAAGCGCCAAAATCAAGAACCTGTTGCAACGTTAGCCGGAAGAGAAGAAACCAACCACTGTGTCTGCTTACCTCGATATATGTCATGCTATTGCGCTGAACAGCAGCGACACAACGCCGCTCGTTAAACTTGACCTGCCACACGCCGCTCAGATCGGTCAACAAATCCTTAACAAACTCTCCCGTCTTGACATTCCACATCTTTAGAGTGCGGTCAGAGCCAGATATGACCTTTTGCCCGTCGTGTTGGAAACAGGTAATGGCACCGGTGTGAGCACAAAGTCGACTCTTGCACTGCCCATTCTCAGGATCCCAAATGCGAAGAGTGGAGTCAGCAGCCGCAGACACCAAGCGCCCATGGCTCAGGTCGAGGAGACCAACCAGAGAGGTATGTCCCTCAAGCGTGAATATGCAAGCACCAGTCTCCAAAGACCAGACCTTAACCATGTTATCCATGGAGCCGCTGATGCAGCGATTTCGAGCATGGTCAAGAACAACGCTGTAGACCTTTTGTGAATGACCCTGAAGACGCTGGAGGACTTCTCCGGTCGAAATTCTCCACACTCGAACAGTACAATCGTAGCTACCGCTCACCAGAGTATCCCCATGGGCAGCAATGGCGCGCACCGAATGATGGTGCCCAGTCAAAGCGCGTATAAAGTAAGGGTTATCATGGTCGTTTGCAGATGCTCCAGTTTGCATAACGCTCCGATCACCCGGCTTGGGAAGCTTCCATACACGAAGCGTTGAATCGCGTGAACCAGTGATGATGAGCTCCTCCTTTGGCATCATGATGGGTTGACCATCGATGGTCTCGCCGATATGCGTTGGCTTGAGGATCACCAAGCATCGGACGGTCGATGTGTGACCCTGGAATACGTGTGTGCACTCTCCCTTGTCGATGTCCCATACGCGCACTGAGCGATCGGTAGAGCCTGACACCAGTGTGTTGCCTTCATACTGAAGGGCCCATACGCCACCTTCATGCCCCTCGAGACGGTTACGCAGTGCTCCTGTCTTAGTGTCGTAAACATTAATGTTTGTATCGTCACTGCCAGTGAGTATCTTGTCCGTATCAAACTGTAAGCAGGTCACAACGTGACGTTGATGCGCACGGAAGGCAATGTGTTTTGGCTTAGTTTCCTCGGCCATCCAGCTCTTGCGTATAAGATGATGCCTTTGGTACAAGGATTTGAAGAGATGCATAGCGCGCAGACTCGGTAAGCCCACATTGGGATCCGAGATGGCAGCTTCTGCACGCTTGGCGAAAGCGTGCGGTCCTTCATGGAGATCGGCGGGACGCAAATACAATGCAGTCTGTGTTTTATTCGAGGATCGATTCTTGCGTTGCTTCTTGCCGCTGCCGCTGCCGTGTTTGCTAGTAGCTTTCCTCTTTTGACGCGTTGATGAGGATCGGGTCACTGCACCTTCTTGGTCTTGCAGGCCACCGGGCAAACTTGAGCTCGGAAAGCCTGAAAAGCCTTCGTTATCGGACCGGGAAGTGATCGACTGGGCCCTTAGGTCACGCTCATAGCTATCAGCCGAGTGGGGATATTGCCATCCCCAGCCTTCCTGCACAGCTCGTTCCAGCTCGCCGTGCGGCAACCTGTAACCGTCTCTGTCAAGCAGATCCTTCCAGGCAGACTCATGAGTGTCAATTAGCTTTCGCCAGTACTTTGATACCCGTGCGGCGCTGCACATGCTCTTGACGTCCAGATAACCAATTATCTCTAGGCTCAGCTCAGTAGGGAGTGAGGCAATAAAGTCACGTTTGAGAGCCGGGTTCACTACATCTGCAACAAAGTGCAAAGTCGGTTTTTTGCATCGACGGAGCATTTGATAAAGAACGTACGACTTCATCTGTTCGGGCAGAGCATCAAATGAGTTGAGCATGTTTGGTATATCCATGATGGAAGGAGTCGGTAGTTGGGTATTGGAGTCATCGTGGGGGAAAAGAGGAAAGTCGCCTGGGCGTGAATTGCTAAACTCGCCCTGGGAAAGATCGAGCGCGGAGAGTTCGCTCGCATCGTAGTCCATGTCCATGGCCGAAAATGACGAGCCATTGCTGTTTTGTTGGGCAAGGTTTGCGGCAGCCGTGATGGGCGATAGACTGGGGCTCGGCAAGCTGGCATCCTGTACAGAATTCGTGTCGAGAGGGGCAAGTCGTGAGGCGGAGAAGGAACCATGTTCAGTAAAAGGTCCAACCGGTTCCAGGTCAGACTCGGCTATTGGGGGAGTAGCAGCAACGCCAGGACCGTCAACCACTCCTGTAGGGAACGAATGCTCTGGAGAGTGTTCGCGCTGGTTGGAATGACTGCCTTCGGGCTGTGCAGATGCAACAAAAGCCTCTCGGAGATGCCGCCTAGACGGCGTTCTGCCCAATCCGAGTTGCTGCGATGTCGCTCGTGCGCTGGGCTTGGGGAACGGGCTAGGTCGGGTTTTTGGTAGACGGGATGCGCCCATCTCCCCTTTATTTGTTTCAGGCGTAGCTGGACACGAACCCTCGGTATCTTCTGGTGCACTGTTGTGGGCCATTTGTGTAGGGTCAGTTCCCTTGTCGCGCTCTAACCTGGGTTTTTTGCTTTGACGATGCATACCAACCAACTCGACAGCCTTGGTTATTGATGGAGGTGGGGGTGATTCGTCTGCATTGTCTCGTTTTCGGCGAGCCGACACGGAGCGTAGTCCTTGGTGTGCTCGAATCTTGGGACGCGTCGTGCGGTTGGGTGTGGCGAAGACTGGAGATCCATTGAAAGATTCGACTTTCTGAACTTTTCCCTTTGATCGGAGGGCTTCCTGGAGCGATCTCTGCTGCAAGTAAAGGGTCAGTTACGAACACGGTGACTAAGGAAATGGTGACGTGCGCAGCTGTAACGCGAAAGGCGTCGGCTACATGCATGTCCCTGGAATTGTCGAAGGCGTACCTCTCGCACCCGCTCCGATGCAGCGTCTGCTTCCTCAAAGCAAGCCAGCTCGCCTCCAGATTCAAAGTAGAACTTGCGTATCGACTCCGGTGCTTGGACGTGGGCCAGTGGGTAGTCTTTCGGGTCTCGCTCGGCCAGGCTTCCGGGGGCGTTTACACAGAGGGGCGGGAAAGTGGTGGTTGTGGTATACGTGGTTGTGACTACTGTGGTCTTTGTCGCTGGGGCGAGCGAGAACTGTGCCATGGTGGTGTAGGGATCTGGGGTTTCGTGGTGCACCGTCTTGGACACGCCATCAGCACTGGGGCCGGAGTCATTCGAGGCAGAGGCCATGTTGCAAGACGGCGACGGGCTTTAGCGATAGAGCTGCTGCGCGTCGTCGTCGTTCTGCGCGAGGGGGGATCCGCAGTGGGGCAGGAGCAGGGTTTGGGTGGCTGATAGGCAGCCTTGGTAGCGGTAGTGGAGAAGGAGGAGGAGGAGGTGGTGGTGGTGGTGACGGTGGTGATAGACGTGCGGGAACCAAAGCACGCGATGGATCGAGGACGAGCAGCAAGACGCGGGAGAGAAACAGCGGGGTCAGTAATCGAGCATGTCGCCAACCGTGACCGGGACGCGGACTGGGTCGGGGCGATGATGTGTGGTGATTTGTGGTGGGTGTTGGCAGGCGTGTTGCCGCTGGCCGAGGCGAGATGGGATGGCCGGCAGAGTCGAGGTGTGCGGCGGGAGCTCGAGAGCGGAAACGGGCCACGTAGCAGCGAGAGGGGAACAGCGAGAGAAGAGTCTCGTATGGCTCAGAGGAGGGGATTGGGTGTTGTGGGCTGGCACGGTGGTGGGGTTTATGGAGAGTAGACGAGCGAGCAAAGGCATGAGCACTTGCAGGGCGGGCTGGTCTAGCTCGGCCTAATCCTAATCTTGACTTCCCGCCATGTCAATTTGGTGCCGCATCACCTCACGGTAAGTAGATGCATATGTAGTATTGGCACCATGCACCAGACCAGCACCACCGCGCCTTTGATTGCACTGCCTGTCCAGCCTGCACATGGTTGCATGCACCAGTCAGGCCCAGCTGTCCTTGTTCGCAGCGCGTGCCCTCATGTTTGGCCTGTTCCCGAGCCATGGTCTCCGAGGCGCACACCTCTTCTGTCTCGTGTGCATCCTGACGCCATTTGGCCAACTGCGCAGCCGCGGCAAGAGAGAGAGAGAAGAAAAAAAATTCCCTCCAGACGCCGGTCTCGATGTGTTGTCCGAATAAGACACGCGTGAAGCAAGCACGGCCACAAGAGGCCGCCACGCCGCACGTGGAGTGTCACGGGAGGAGTCGAGCAGCGGCGGCGAGTCGAGAATAGCAGGCAACCCCAAGTCAATCATGCCCCGATGCATCTACTCACTTGAGCTTTTGCTTCAAGACGCTGCTTGTTCAACGCTGGGCACCGAGTGCTGTTTCATGACTTGTGTCCAATCCGCCATTGGTAATCATCTCATCATTATCATCATCATCATCATTGCCATTGTCAGCATCATGGCTCGCTGCGTGAAGATGGCACAGCTGATGTCTGGAGCCGTCTTCGCATTCCTGCCGGGGGCCACTTGATCCAGCACGGCCGTGGGGGAAGCTGTGCCGGGAACAAGACGTCATGCTCTACCTCCGTAGGTAGGCAGCATCTATCTAAAGTATGTACATACTACCTAGATATGCTGGCCTTATCTCACCGTCTTCCGTGTCTACTTGGGTACTTCCTACATATACCCGGCCAGCCATACCCTTTGGCCACCTCTGATTACCAATGCCCGATCCCTCTGCGCTGCTGACATGGATATGTAAGTATGTACCAAGTACTCTACAGGGCAGCAACACCGCCCAGTCGGGCTTTTCTTGTTCCGTCTCTGCCAGCGCCCAACAGAGCCCGGCTGCACACGGCATGTGTAGTCTTCACCACCTGTTTGAACTGGTTGACAAAGAACAGTCAGGCAGCCAACGGATGCCGGTACTGCCGCTGTGATTGACAGCGGAGAAGCGAAAAAAAAAGTCCGACGGCGCCCAGACGCCAGGAAGCCTAGCTAAGAGAGGTGCGACAGTGGGAAACGGCGTTGACTGCATGTGACTGTGTGTGTTTGACGCTTGTAGAGTACACACGTGTAGGTATACTACACCTAAGTACACGTGTGTAATCGCATGCAGCCCAAGACCTTCAGTCCCCATCACGTGCACAGGCTGAGTAAGAAGTATACATGTATGTATGTATGTAGTCAGTAAGTCTGCAGGTGTGTCCGTGTCGCCGAGGCAGCTAGGCCGCACGTATACATGCTACACATGGAATATTACATACTCACACACAGATCCATACATGGGTGCGTGAGGCTCAAGTCCACGGGGCACCTGCAGAGCACGTAATGGTCGATTGTGGGCCAGCCGGCGACGTGCCCACGCACACGGCGGAACCACGCCCATCCCCCCCAAAAATTTCAATGGAGCTGCGTCTGCGTCTGCCCACTGACACACGGCCCGCCACAACCAGGGCATCTCAGGCTCCTCGACGGAACGAGCTTCATCAGATCCAAAGCCATTGCGCATCCGGGACGGCTGGGCCCTGGATCAAAGACAAAGAGGTTCATGATCATCGTGAGAGAGCCCACAGGATCATCACCAGGTCCAAAGACGAGCGCTGATCGGACGGTGCATGCTATACGCCCCCTGAGCATCCCCCGCGGGCCCCAGTCCCTCAACACTCGCTCTCTGTCATAGTGGTGCCAACATTCCAAATCTGCAGAGCTGCTCGTCAGCCACGCGGCTTCGCGCACCATGACTATCTGAATAACTATGTCCTTGGGCATGCATCCAAGTATACATGGACATCAAGCACTTGTTCCGACCCGATCGGGCCCTTGTTCAATTAGGGGTATTGAGCCAAACTCTGTGGGGAAAAGAAGAAACTAGGGCGCAACTCAGGTACGGCGGGCGTGGAGATTGGCAAGGAATGTATTTATACATCATGCCATCAACGACAGAGGAAGGTGTCAAGGCGCTCAACAGCCTCAATTTGCCTTGGCCCATGCCTCTCCAGGGCTGGGATTAGCGCAGCGCCAGAAACGCACGGGAGCCTCGTACTTGGTGACGGCGCAAATGCAAAGGTTCGGTACGCTGCGCTCTGGCCCGGCCTCAACCACCACCACCTGGCCTGCTCTGGCCTGGCTTGCCCTGGCACCCTCAGCTCGAATCCAAGTGCAAACGCAAATGCCCACTCTCGACCTCGCGCCCAACAGCAAACATGACGCCCGTCGCCGTAGCCGTCGACGCTGGCTCCACTCGCTACACAAACTATGGCGCATCTACCTACCTACCTACCCACCTACCCACCTACTTACAGCACCAGCGCAACCCCAAAGGCTAAATATCGTGTATACAATTGGGGTATGCATGTCTGTGATGAAGCAGTGGCTTCTGTCAGACCCGTGCAACCTGGCCTGGCAAGCTTGTGCAGGGGGTGATCCGCAGCTCTGCCGGCTGACACCCCTGGCGCCCACTACCCACGCGGATCTTAGTATCAGAGCCACGGCCATGTCGCAACCCGCAGCATCCAAGTCACAAAGCCCTCGACGTTAATCTTGACACTCTATACCTGCCCGTTCGCATTTCCTTTTGTCTGTAAAGCTGCGCCCTCCCCCGCCCTCTTTCACAATCCCACATCCATCTTGTTCTCCTCTTCCTCACCTCCCCCTCTCCCTCCCTGGTCCCCTGCTTCTTCATGGAACCGTACTACTGCCGTTCCTGCAGATAGCATTCCAACCTACGCCGGGTTAGCGTCTGGCGCAGGAAGGGCCCGCTGCTGAACCCTTTGGTTCCTTGGTCGGCCTTGTTGTACAGTCCATTAATCCACCGCATACCGCACCCTCGCCTCTCCCCCCCCAAAAGCAAAACACCGCCTACCCGCATGTGCTGTCGGCCCCGGTCCGCGATAGCAACAGACATGGTTTCGGCCTAAACCAGCGCCTATTCAGGATTTGGCATGACGCCGTCCGCGCGTACCGCGATTCAGTTCTTCCCACTCTGTCTCTCACTTTACTGAGTCGCGCCTACACTAGAACTGCAGCCACCAACTTTCCTTTCGGCACCCCGGGTGGCTCACGCATCATGTCTCGCAACGACCGCGGACAGAAGAAGTTCTCCTTCGCATTGCCTCGCCGCCCGCGAAGCAAATCACAAAAGACTCACGCCACCACCGCCGCCGCCACCGACGACTACGACGACTACGACGACAGCACTCGCTCCATACCACCCTCTATCCCCAACTCCAGACGTATGTCCCGTCACGACGAGACAATCAGCAAGGCGCATCAGATACTGGGCACTTCCAATTCGCTACATTATTCCACATCGAGCCCTGGATACACGTCACTTGTCATATCAGAAACAAGTGCAGACTCACATCTAGACGACTGGAAAACAGTATCAACAGCAGGAAGTTCAAGTCGACCTGCCATGTCAAAACAACCATCATCAAATGTCCTGGGACGAATATACTCCGGGGAAAGAAAGTGGGGCTCTGACCACAGCTCAACTAGCTACCGATTACATCCTCAGGCATCGAGCTCGACCATTCGATCGCATTACGATGCGAAAAACTCACCGTTGTCCATTTCGCAACAAACATCCGACTCGGCTATCCGAGACCGCGCGTTGAGAAGAGGCCGTACTCCGGTATTGACAGATAAGGGCTATGACGGCTATGTGGCGAGTGCAGCGTCACCCGTCATCCTGGACCAAGGAAGAAAAAAGAAGGAACCCCGAAAAAGCAAACCCGCTCGGCTTGATTTGTCGAGACTGTTTCCCAAGCCAAGGGATAATAGCAATCAGCGCCATGGCAACGCAATGCTCTCACCGACTAAGATGGTAAAGTCACCTGCTGCCATGTCAATGAACTCGGAATATTTCCATCACTCTCCATCAAGAGATCGAACTCCACAGAAGCCGCCAAAATCATCACATAACAACAACACCAGCCATTACAATTCTGCAGAATATCGCGGAACAAGTCCCGTCCGCAAAATCGAGCGGGATGAGTATGATAATGCAAAAGTGCACGTACGTCGACCGCCAAAAGGTGTTCAACATTGGTTCGATGCACTCGACGACAGTGAAGAAAGCGCAGAGGAAATTCAAAAAGCCCCTGCTTCGCGGGCTGCCTATTCACATGGCGAAGTCAACCGTAGTGCCTCTGATGCTCAGACCTCCCAGCCAGCAGGGAATTCAGTATTCGGCCCCCGATTGCAAAATTCGACAAATGTGTATAAGAGAGACAGTTTTGCGCTCGAAGACATTGTCGATATCCGTCATCTTACTTCGCCCAGCCAGTATTCGGTCAACACATATCACTCGCAGACCTCATCGAGGACCAAGGAGTCGGCACTTTCAAAGACAAATCTTCAAGACTCAAGCGTCTTGTCATTTTCTTCTTCAGAAGATGAGGGTGAGACTAATCCAGCACAGTCTAGACACACACTCAACCGTCAGAGCGTGGATAGTGCCGACTACAGTGGGGAGATCATGATTGGGCGCGCCCAAGCGTACGAAGTGCGCTCTTTACACCATCGTCAACATTCCGCTGGGAAAATGAGTACCCATTCGACATCCACAAACGCCGCAACAATTGACATCATATATACGCCTGAGCCCCCGCCCTTGCCCACCTATCGCTATTCGCGGAATCGCACCTACAGCGGCAGTAAACGAACCAGTCACGTAAGGCAGCCTTCTGTGATTCTTGAAGATGAGGATTCTCGGCCAAGGACCGCATTCAATGAGCCCTTGTCGCCATCGAGACGGAGTGTGGCGAGTTCCCGTACATCGGCTAGCGCACCCCAACCTCACTCCGATTCATCACGCAAATTCATGCAGGTCACCCCTGAGGAGGAGGCTTTACTCGAACTGATGAGAAAGAAGCGTGCTGCCATGCATAGACACTGTGGATCGCAGTCACAGTCCCGGGACCCCTCTGAATCAGGTTCTGTATGCGCAGTAGATACCAGAGCTAGAGAGCGCACATCGTCGAACGCGTCTGTGCCGCATCAGTCATCTACACGTGGCAGAGCAGCAAGGGTCGACGTTGCTATAGGCACAAGCCAGCTACGTGATAGCTCTGTGAGTGATGCTTGGTCAGACCGTCACCACTCTCCGGCCAGCCGGGGAAGATCGCCTCGATGTCTTGTTGCATCGTCAGAAACCTCACGCCGCCATCGTTCCCCACCGCGTTCGCCTACGCCTGCTGAAAGCGGAACGTCACTCACGACCACTGACCATCCGTCACCCTTACCATCCCCAATGACTCCTGGTCGTTATGTCGATGATTTGGGTGTCAATGTCAAAGTAGCAAATAGTGATACTAGCAACGAGTTGGATGACATGTCGCCCTTGAACCAAGGTGCTGTTGGTGCGCCATTAGAGAACGGCAAGTCGGATTCATCTCACGAGATGAGTGCGCATCGACGCCGTCGAACAGCATCTAGTGATGCAGATATGACATTCCCTGTCCCACCTACTCACGGTATCCGGGACCTGACCCCAGTTTCCGAGGCCTCGTCCCGCCCACCCAGCATTGTTGAGCCACCAGCCCCGAAACCCAAAAAGAAAGCCACAAGGCACATTAGTGAACTGGCCCTGGGGACCATAGAAACACGACCGCGGCAAAGCAGTGCTCACTCAACTGCTACACGTACATCTTCCCAAGGCTCGACGTACGTCAACAGTGCAGGCAAGACGAGATCGCGCCATCTAAGTCCCGATTGTATTACGAGCAACTCTCGAACGTCTACCGACAGTAGGGATAGCGTCAGCGATGATGTCTTAGCCGCTTGGAACAGCCTGGGCGGAACATACTAGTTGTTTTTGCTCACCTGTTATCATCTTTCTCGGAGCATCCTGTACATGATCCTACACTATATTTCCTGTTTATTAAATTTCCTTTTGTCAGTGTTGCATGAAAGCCATTTCCACTTGTAAGGATTACATATTAGCCTTCCTCGACCTGTCTTCTATGTTCTACGTTTTCTCTTTTTTTTGTTCAAAGCATTGCGGAGCCTTATACCTATGACTGACCTTGTCATTCAAATCTAGTTATAAGCTTTAAGATCTACGACGACTTAATATGTATCGGTTTATCTTTGCTACTTAGAGCTTTTCAGACACATATATATATATATATATATGTGTGTGTGTGTAGTATATAGTATATAGAATATCAAACTCTCTCCATGAAGGATACACTAGTTGTGTTTATAATATTCGCCTTCATGCTACTGTACACGTATCAATCCTTAAAGGCCCATTAAGAGAATTTTCTAAGAGGGAGAAGCTATGATTCATTGATCAAGTTATCCATTATCACTACTATTAAGCTTTTTTCTTTTCTTTTCTTTTCCAAAGCCTAGTACAAAAAAGCACTTCCCCCAATGACTCTCTACTCCTTCTTGTATTCACTGTACCCGCCCACAGGAGGTGGATACGCGCCGTAATCCGCGTACTTTGCAGGTTGAGGCGGGTTCTCAACAGTAGACGGAGGCACATTTCCATAATCTCCTTGATAATATTTGTTAGTTGAAGAGGGAGAGAACGGGAGAGAGAGAGAGATTGATCTAACGCAAACTTCGAGTTTCCTATCAGGAAGTGAAGACGTACCATATGTCGCGTACCCGGAAGGGGGGGCCGTGTTTTTGTAATCGCCTTGGTGTATTTGTTAGGGAGAGAGAGAGGTAGAGATAGAGAGAGATAGAGATAGAGAGAGGGAGGCAGAGAGGGAAAGGGGAATCGGGGCTGCCTACTTACCATAATTACCATATGAACCTTGAGCAACTGGTGCGGTGAGAGCGCAGGAGACCAAGGCGAGCATGGCGATGAAGGACTTCATAATGATTTCTGGGCGTATCTACGAAACGTCTGTGGAGTTTTTTTGGTGAATGAGATGGAAGTGACTTGGTCAAGCCGCGTGTGTGTGTGTGTGACTCTTGTACATCACAAAGAGAAGCTGTGGAAGTGGGTGGTGGGGGGATTTTATACATCAACCCGTGTAACCCATGCTATCCTCACTCACTTCCACCATCTCGCTTACGAAAACAAAAACTATATTCGCTTAAACCGCCTGTTGCTGGCTTCAGCAACCCGAGCTGAAAAGCCTACAGGAGAGGAGGGAGGGGGACTGACTAGTCTGTAGACAAAGAAAAGCCACTGGTGAATTGTGCGGGTTCGAGACTGTGAGCTGGACACACGCCAGAGACACTTTCTTCGCCAGCTCCACTTCGCTTCTCTGAGGCCTATCATGGGGTTATGGCATGTCAATAGTATGGCTACGTTATGATTCTAGATCCAGAGGAGATCTGGGCTCCGAATGCGAGCTGCAAAGGCCCGCGGCATATGATCGGGTTTCTTTCCATCTTATTGGTACGGCATTTGGGGGCTTTGATAGTGTTTATTGGCATTGGAATGCGACTGCTGTGAGCCAGGTTGGCAGTGTTGACTATGACAAAGTGGCGGTAGAGGATTTGTTCGTTGAGCTGGCAAACAAGTTGCAGCGATACCTTGTCAGACATTCCTAGGCATGTATCTAACGTAGCCGCATCATATACTGCACCTCAGCATTTTGTTTCCTATACAAGTAACGAATTTGTGCTTCAACTCGACATGTGCTCTTGCAATGGTGCGTCGGTATTATCGATTTTTGGCCCGAACTTGAGTCTATGTGATCTTCAGCCATCACCCAACACACAACTGACATGTACTAAGAGGTAGTATCTCAAGTGTTAAGCGAGGTAATACAAAAGCCCCAATAAGGCTAATTCAGCCCTATGCGCCACTGGTGAGCGTGAGTGGACAATGCCTCCTGAGTTGTATTCAGCTCATGCGGGGTATTCCGGGCGAAGCTGAAATACCACTTCTGGGCAAAGATAACGCTATACAGATACAAGTCTTGCGTACTCTACGGTGAGGCAAATAGTCGTGGCATGTGCTGCTGGATTATTCCCTCCCCATGTTCTGTTGACTGACTGCCTCGTTCGTCTCCTTCACCCACGCTATCTCTGTGACAATGATTTTCAATATGCCCAACTTCAGTCTTGGAAAATGCTCTAATAGAGAGAAGATGACACAAGCAGAAGACTGCGAGAAACTTCTTGAAGAGAGCGCTCGATCGTCACTCGAATCATGGTCCCCACAACCATCACCACAGGAACTGTCCTGGAAGATGGCGACTTGTATGATCTGCTTCACGGCAGTCTTTTCTGCCACATTTGGGGCGTTGATGATCATGATACAACAGCCAGATGCTGATGCTTTCTGTGCGAGGCTTACTTCAAAGTACTGTATGTCTAGAGAAGCTTTTTATGGGAAGATAACTCTACTAAAGTCCATCAGCACCTATAATGCACGATGTCGGCATTACCTACAAGCAGCTGCAATTCAACGGTTCGCTTATGGTGTCTAATCCATATCGGTTGGACGCAGGTCCTGAAGTTGATGCAGCGTGGAAGTCCTTAGGTGTAGACTGTAAGTGAACCAAGTCATGAAGACATCGCCCACTAAACATCTACACAGACCACGCGGTGAGAGTACCGGCAAACGAAGCACAGCAATCTGGCCTTACGCTCGATCAAGTCCAGATCAAGGAAGAATATGGCGGTGGATACCCTGCGCACGTAGAGGGATTGCACCATCTACATTGCTTGGTATGTTCCATCAGACACGCTTTAGCGACCAACACTCATTCGGGTTTTAGAACTTGCTGCGCAAATCTCTGGCCTGGAATATCGATTACTATCACAAGCAAGGCTTGGGGCCTTTCTCCAACGACGCGAATATCCTAAAACACCATACTAGTGAGTACCAGATGCTTATCTGTACAGTGAACCGTACAGCTCACAACTTCATTAGCACATTGCCTCGATATCCTGCGACAGCAGCTCATGTGTGTCATGGATGTTGGAGTTCTTGGCCAGGTATGGTATCAGCCGCCTGGCAAATCGTTACAAGCATTTGTCGATTTTAACACCGTCCACACATGTCGCAACTTTGATGCAATCCGAAGCTGGGCGGAGGAGCACCAGTTGCCAGATGCAGCAGATACCCCAGCCGATTTTCTCGCTTTACCAAAGGAGGGCGATCGGATTTATCACGAAGTCCCCTAGCGTGAATACATGGTTCCGTGGTGATGTGTGCAGCAATCCATGTATTACCAAAAGGGCTCGGAATTATCTAGTGTCGCCCACTCGTCGCCTCCATCGCTCCAGTCTCTCCACACGTCCTTGGGAACTATATCTAGACGGCCACAACGAAGCGTCGCAAAGTCGACATCAAAGGGATGTGCTTTGAACATTTCACCCGAGGCACGAGCATGGTTCATGAGATCGAGTTTGTACATACGTACTATTCTCGCAGCTGCACGAACAAACAGTTCCTTCTGTGCATCATCGTCCCAAATGTCTTCTGTCAGCATCATGACCATGCGTGAGATGTTGGGAAAACTCCGCAAAACATTGGACAGACTGCCGTCTCGAAAACCGTGTAGAACGACTTTGGTTATGGCAATAGTTCTCAGTTTTTTTGGATGGCAGCCAGTCGCAAGGAGGAAATGAGCCAATAAACCCACGTCTGGCGAATCATCGTAGTGTTTCACGCGCGGCCCATGGAGCTGAAGTAGTAGAATGTCTGTGTCGACGCGGAAATAGAAATCGTCACAACTGGCTCCTGGGAGTCCAGCTGGAAGATGGACAATGTGGTTCGCCTTGATGGCCTGATAAAGGGCTTCTGCACGAGACTCCCGGCATAGGTTGACGGCCATGGGAGCCGGGCTGGGGCAATACCGTGGGCAAAAGTGCTGCTCGTCGTGCCCCTCATCGTGAGGCTTAGTTTCCAAAGCCACTAGCCGAGGTGGTTCGTTGAAATATATATTGGCCCAAATTTTTAAGCGGAGTTCTTTGGGAAAAAGCGATATGGCCATGTCTAGAATACTAGTAGTAGCGATAGTGAAGCGGGGGATGTGGGGGGTTGAATGGAATGGCGTTCTAGAGGGTTCGGAGACTACCGAATCTGGACATCACGTGATATTGCTTCTTTCCGGCCATCCCCAACATCTGGGTTGGCGACATTACGAGTCCACTCCGCTTTGCTCCACAGGTTGCGGACACTTTACTTGATACCGTTAACTATCCTCCATACACATAAATGTATGTACTTCGCCGGCGGTGCAAAGTGTTTATCGGTCTGGAGGATTCCGTTTGTCTCGGCGTCAAAGTTTTCTCGGTCTAAAGTCGCAGTTTGTCTAGAAATACAATGGCCATGGCGGTGTACTTGGTGGAGATGCGACCACATGTTCGACCATACTGTGTTCCCCCTGTGTCCCCGCGCTAGAGACACTCCACCCAGAAGATCATTCCGCTTCTAAGTATGCGATTGCAATGGGGGTTATGTGGCACAGCCCAATGGCGAGTCATTGTGAAAAAGCAACCGTCTTGTTGCGACGTCGCGTCGAAATGTTGAGGCCGGTTGAGTACTGTCGATAGCCGGGCATGGGATTCTAGATATAGAATGCCTATACGGGAGACGCATGTCCAGGATGAGCCTGCAGGCTACATGGGCAGCAAGACGAGCGGGGAGCGCCCTGGAGTACTTAACACTGAGTTCTTGATGAGGCTCTAAGTGGATTCGCGACGGGTGTCCCACTGGAGTCCCACTGGAGAAATGGACGGCGCCAAAAGTTGTGGAGTTGTTGGTCGCACGACCCGCTGTATGTGAAGTCACACTGACATAGGCGCGGATGCGATGCCGGGCAAAGGGTCTAGTTTTGTTGGCATTGGGCTTGATCGACGATTCCGAGCACGTTCAATGGCTTGCCTCTGGGGCTCGGAGGAGGCTGAAAGATTTGAGGCTCCATGTGACAAGGCTGGGCATCTTTGCAGCCGCGTTGTTGGTCGTGGAGCTCTTCCCCCTCCCCCGCTTTAAAGCCAAAACCACCCCTCTTCCAGCGTCATACGGCAGACACCGCACAGCAACGGCACGTGTCTTGACCCCGACGACTGCCGATTAACCACCGAATCCTCCCGTCTTCTCTCTACGATGCTCTCCCTGCGATCTGCTCTCTACCACTTCTCCTTCAATCCGTGAATTCGACTTCCCTTGCCCCGACCTTTTCTTGCCGCAAGACCCTTTTGTTGCTGCGTGCCCCGAGGACCAAGGCTGTTCTTCACACATCACAACTCATACACATCTCTGCACCAATATCATAAAGCATTTGGTGTATTGTGCGACCTAATCGACGTCGCCAAAAATTCTTCCGTGCCTCAACTGCGCCCAAGATTGCTGTCTGCGCCCAGTACTGGAGAGCGACACCGCCGAGTAACCACTGCATCTGTCGCGCTTATCCCACAGCTTCGATCGCAAACGGAAAGTCCTTCTCGCATTAGAGAGTCGGCCTGCGCATACAATTGCAAGCAGAAAAACAAATTTTACAGCATGGCGACACAAGACATTTCTGCGCACGCAACGGAACCTCAGCCGGTGCCCAAGGAAGAAATTCAAGAAGAATCACAATCGCACTTGGATGAAGGGAAGCTGAAGCAGTTCTTTATTGGATCCATAGATCAAGGAACTACGAGTACTCGCTTTATTATCTTCGACGGTCTCGGTGAACCCGTAGCCCAGCATCAGATTGAATTCACCCAAAAGTATCCTCAATCAGGGTCAGTAGATATCTGCACCCGAACCAAAACTTCTCTCTAATCGGCACAGATGGCATGAGCACGACCCATGGGAAATTATTGACACCGTGGAACAATGCATTGACAGGGCAACAAACATTTTCTTGGACAATGGCCACAATATCGAGGACATCAAGGCTATTGGCATCACTAACCAGCGTGAGACGACAGTGGTGTGGGACACTACCACCGGTCTGCCTATTTGCAATGCAATCGCTTGGTACGTATGGCACATGCACAAAACGCACATGTGATTTGGCTGACCCACTTCGCCTATCGGTAGGCCAGATACCAGAACCAAGGGATTAGTGCGTGAGCTGAAGGATCGCAAGGGTGCTGATGAGTTGTTGAATCTGACCGGTCTTCCCCTATCAACCTACCCTTCATCGGTCAAACTGCGATGGCTGCTTGACCATGACGAAAATGTCAGGAGCGCGTACGAAGAAAAAAGACTTTCATTCGGTACCATTGATTCTTGGATATTATATAACCTGAACGGTGGAAAGGAGGGCGGAATTCACGTAACAGATTCAACTAATGCGTCAAGAACCATGTTTGTCAACCTGTAAGTTAGCCACCCGCCACTATATTTTAGCCAAAAGCGCAAGCACTCGCTAACGCACCGACAGGCACACCGTTCAGTACGATGACAAGCTTCTAGACTTTTTCGGAATCGACCGCACCAAAGTAAAATTACCAAAAATCGTTCCGTCTTCATCGCCAGATGAATTCGGGTACATAAGAACCGGTATATTAGAAGGTGTACGGATTGCTGGATGCCTCGGTGATCAATCTTCGGCTTTGGTTGGTCAACAAGGGTTCACGCCTGGTTCTGCAAAGAATACGTACGGCACGGGTTGCTTCCTGCTATACAATGTTGGCGAAAAGCCTGTCATCTCCTCGCATGGCCTGCTGGCCACCGTTGCGTATGATTTTGGTGGAAACCGGAAGCCAGTATATGCACTTGAAGGAAGCATTGCCGTAGCGGGCAGTGGCGTCAAGTTCCTCATGAACAACATGGGCTTCATTACGCATTCGCACAAGATCAGCGACTTGGCAGCCTCTGTTGAAGATAACGGTGGATGCGTCTTTGTCACGGCTTTCAGTGGTCTTTTTGCTCCTTACTGGATCGACGATGCGAAAGGCACCATATTCGGAATCACTCAATTCACAGAGCGGGGCCATATCGCTCGCGCAACCCTTGAGGCAACATGTTTCCAAACAAGGGCAATTCTCGACGCTATGGAACTAGACAGTGGTCACAAGCTTAATATGCTTGCAGTGGACGGTGGCATGAGCAATTCTAATTTGTGTATGCAGGTACGTGAACATTGACTTGATATTTCTAGGAAGTTTCTTCTTGCTGACCACGAACAACAGACTCAGGCAAATATTATCGGCATTCCTGTAGATCGTCCGGCAATGCGCGAAACCACTGCGTTAGGTGCAGCCATCGCAGCTGGATTTGCCGTTGGCGTATGGAAAGAATTCGAGGAGCTGAAGGAAATCAACCAGAAAGACCGCATGATTTTTAAACCAAACGTGGACAAAGAAGTAGGCGAGAAGATGTTCAAGAAATGGGGACGGGTAAGTCATTATTATCCAGATGTTACACGTGATGAGTAAACTGACTTTTGGTTTCAATCTAGGCTGTCGAGATGTGCCGCGGCTGGTTAGATGCTGGGGAGGCTAATGGGGAGTTCTCATGATTTGCATCTATATTGGAGACTAATATATCCATAAACGCTTCAGTGCATTTCTTCTTGGCGCCAGGAAGTACGGAGTTGGGAGTGTTGCTTCAGAAAACACCAAGTACATTGTGATATGGATGTTCATGCTCTAAGTGGGCTACAAAGTGGATTGATAATCGACGAGATGGTATGGGCCAGACGGGGTTCCTACAACCGCTTCTAGTATAGACACTGCCCCAGCACGGCATGGGAATGAGATTTGACAGTATCGGTATTGGATAAGCTACTAGCTCAATCCTTCTATGACATCGCCACTCACATGTGTACTACCTCATTTTCAGCCTGAATGTCCCATGCGTCTTGTCGAAACAAAGTAGCCTGTAAATCGCCTACATGCCGGATATAATTTTACATAGTGCACCAATGAAATAACGCCAATAAGGCTGCCAAGGTGTCAATACGGTCAGCGCACGCGCATGTTGACTAATGCAGGCTTCTTCGCGTCTCACACCATTGTCATGCAGATGCGGCACGACGTACTATAAAACTAAGCTGAATGTAGCTGTACTGGGGAACCAACATCGACGATTACTCACTGATGTCTTACTTGGCTCGAAAGTTTACCATGTACACGAACAGCCCTGCAAAGACAATAACATGACAGGTAACAAGGAACAGATGTTGCTCAGCTGTCGTATCGAACTTCCTTGTCTGGGCCTGGTGGTTGCTAACCTGCTTCTT